TTTAGCCAAACATTTGGCGGCTTTTCCTGTTGGCACAGCTGTTTCTGGATTCCATTCGCCTTGGGCTCCGGCGTGCCCCAAGCGGGCAGCTTGTGCAGCCCTGGTCGCTCTGGCTATGTTGTCGCATGGCAAGTATTTTTCTTTCTTGGACTTGGACATATAGCGCTCGTCCGTGAATTTTCCCCGTGCATACAGGGCGTTCCAGTTGGTGCCCAGAGCTGCACCGACTCCAAGCTGAAGAATTCTACCAGGGCGGGGCACCGGGTGTAGCAGCAATAGCTTCACAGACATCAAGGCCTTCGTTTGTTTGGGCACATATTCGAGAAATGCTCGTGGCCCTGTATTATAAAATATACTGTGAGCATAAGTGTAGCTGTGTGTGTGCGCAACTTTGTGTCGCTGTCTGTCTGTGTGTGTGTGTAAATGTGTGTGTGCAAGTGTGAGTGTGCGTGTGAGTGTGCGAGAGTTTAAGCTTAAAGCTATTGTACACTTGGTGTCGTGTCTGCCCGTTCTTGTCCTCGCCCCGCGTCCACGTTCTAGTCCCTGTTCATATCCTTACAGGCGGCAGGCAGCAGGCGGCTGTGGCAGCAACAAAAATGACGTTGCTTTTGCTGTCGTCGTCGACGCCAGCTGCCCGCGTCTCTGCCACCGCCCCTGGCTGCGTCTACTCCAGCGCTTTGCCAACGCATTTTGTTTTGTTTAGAGCGCAAGTTGTGTGTGTGTGTGTGTGTGTGTGTGTGTGGGCGTTCAAGACAGGCAGCATGCCTCATGCGGCTTGTTATTTGGTACCTGTCGGCATAGGCATCGGCTGCCCCTGCCTCTGCCCCTGCCTCTGCCGCTTGGCAATTTTTGAATGCGCTGCACTCTTTAAAGTTGGCAGCTTTGCAGCTCGCTTTAAGGCTCTGGCATTACAGACATTACGTGGAGCCTGTTGTCGGCGCAGGGACAGCACGCCGGAAGCAGCTCTGCAACCCCCAAGAAGCACACACACAGACACACACACACACACATACACGCGCACGCACGCACCTTAACACATATTTCCACTTCCTTTTCATTTTCAGGCCAAATGAAAAATTGCACACGCGGGAATTTGATTTTAACATGAGAAATAAATACAATGACGTTGACGTCGACGGCGACTGCGACGCCAGCAGCGCAGTAACTAATGGGGTTGGGGGTTGACATTGCTTCAGCTGGGGAGCCTTGTGACAGTCGATAGTTTTGACTGAATACGCTCGCTCGTCCTTGCTCGTGTCGATAATGATTTAATTAGGGCCGCGATTGGCCTGTGCGCCCCTGCAGCCGGCCCACCCCTCGGCCGAACCCCTCGGCCCAACCCCTTTGGCGTTTCACCTGTGTAATTGATTTATGGACCGTGCGCTGCGCTCAATGATTGCAATTTGTTGCTCATTTGTTGCAGCTATGCGCAACGCGGCGTCAGATAAACGCAGAGCGGATCAAATTCTCAACCCCTTTAAGCCCCGACCCCCTCACACACACACACGCGCAGAGACAACCCCCTTTTGCCAAGACAACGAATGAACGGCAGCAGTTCGTGTAGTCGCATTCCTTGTCTAATGCCGGAATTTCAATTTAAAGCCTTAAACACTAAACTTGATTACGCGCGACTCACTGAGCAGCAACTGCCAGGAGATAGAGAAGGACCTCTTTGTGTGTGTGTGTGTGTTTTTAGGGGAGGGTAGCTTTGTGTCCTGCTCCATTGTCTTTGCGAGTAGGGAGAGGGGAAGGAGGAGGGGGGGGGGCATTTCTCGCATGAACAGCAAAAGTTACTTTTGCTCTGTAACTGGGATCAAAGTGACATAAGTTCAGCGCTCAGCTTCAATTTATTTAATGCCAAAAACTTTTAATGTAATTAAAACGGATAATGCCTAAAACGCGCAAAACTTTAAAAACGCGCGATGGGCGCCGCCGTTGCCGAGCTTAAAGTGCGTGAGAGCTTTAAGTGCGAGAGGGCGGAAAGAGGGGGAGTGGCAGTGGGGAGCCTTCCCATCTCCCCCTCAGTTACATACACGTGCCATAAAGCGCTCAAGTTACTTGCTGGGATTACACATTGCCCTGCTAAAAACTTTTCTAGGGAATATATATATATATATCTAGATAAGCATACATGCGTGTGTGTGTGTGTGTGTGTGCGTGTGTGTGTGTAAGGGCTGCCATTTGGGCATGCTGTCCAGTTTTGACGATCGCGCTGGGCCCTGTGCCAGCTCGGCTGGTCAGCACAGCGGGCCAATGCGGCGTATGCGTCATGTAAAACTTTACGCCAAGGCAGCCAAAGGAGTCTCTAACATTTTCGAAATGCTGCACATTTTTGTTGCTGACTACGACACAAATACACACACACGCGCACACACAGGCAAGTGTAACAAAGGCAGCGGCCGTGGCAAAGGGGGGGGGGGGGGGGGGCGAGAGCCGTTAGGGTGGAGCAGGATGTGCGAACGGTCGCACAGACGAGTCGGAAGCACGGACAAACAAACGGATAAGAAGGCAAAGCAGCAGCCGGGGCAGGCAGCGGCAAAGGACGCAGGACGAAGGACGAGCCAAACAAACGTAACGAAACGAAACGAAACGAATAGAACGTACAACGTACATGAAGAAGATAAGCGCACAGAGCGTCGCTGATAACGCAAGTTCTGGTAGCCGGCAACAGGACTTGTGCCGGGCAGGCGGGTAGCTACCCAATGCCTGAGGCAGTCCAGCATAGACAGACAGACAGACGGACGGACGGACGGACGGACGTAGAGACACAGCCGCTCCATGGAGCAGGAGGACTTGTGAATTTTAACATTTTAGAGAAAAGCGAACGAACGAAATTTTCGAATGTCAGCGTCGACTGAAACGAATTGTTGGGGCCGCAGTTGGAGCATGTCTAGCTGGGGGGTTGGAGGCGGCTCGCGTTGTGTGTGGGGCGTGGCAGTGTGTAAGTAGTAGCAATGCAAGGCAACAACGGCGGCGGCGGCGGTGGCGGCTGCTGCGAAGCTGGAACGAAACAATTTGTAATTTATTTGCGAAGCGTGCGAAAGTTGAGGCAGCTGCCAAAGGCGTAGCCAGAGATGGCGATGGCGATGGCGCAACTGTGCCAGGCCGAAGGAGCAGAAGCCAGCAGCAGCAGCAGCAGATACAGATGATGCCAACACACACACACACACGCACACACACACAGCTCTCACATAGGAAAGCACACACATTTAGTTAGCGCCGTGTGGGTGGCCCTCGAAGTTGGGGTAGTTGGAAGGGGGAGGGGGAGAGGCTGGAGAATTATATTTTTTTTTTTGTGCCAAGGGGCTGGTGGGGTACTTGGGCCGTTTTAAAGACAACATGTTTAAGGTTTGGTTTTTGAAATTTATTTAAAACTTTTACGCTTAACACAATTTGAAATTTGAGTTGTTTTGTGTGTGTGTGTGTATGATTTTTAATTAGTTAGTTTTATTTGTTAGCTAGCCTTGATTTAATTATGTATATTGTTTGCTAAGTATATAAACTATGAACTTTAAATACTTATTACAAATATATTAAGCTGCTGTTTGCGCTGTCTTCTCCTCTTCTTCGTTTCTTGGAAGTTTCTGTTTTTGACTATGTTACTCAGTCCGGCAGTTTTGAAGGAGCTTTTTGTGCGAAGCTTTTGCCAATTTAAAGACTTGAACAACTTGCTGAAGAGCACGGTGTATGTGCGTGCGTGTGTGTGTGTGAAGGAATACTTTAAAAGTAATTTAAAACATGCATATCTAACCCATTTATCCATTACTAAAAAGTATATCAAAATTCTTTGATTCAGCTAAATACGTTCTATATGTGTATATAATATATATGTATAATATATTTGTATGGCCAAGCTTGAAAACTTTGCTAAGTATAAAAAATTGTTGTAATTATTGCAACTATTGTATTGGTTTATTTGCTGGGCCTGTTAGTTGTGTGTTCTTATCGAGGGCAACACAAACAAACTGAACTGTGTGGGCTATCGTTATAGTAGTATGGTCTTTAGGTATTTGCTTAATCAGTCTTGTATACAAAAACAAAAAACAAAACAAAAATCATTTAAATTAGCAAATTTTCTAAGTATTATTCACATGGCTACGGCCTATTTCGTTGTCATGCAGCATTACACTAGGCAAAAAATGTTATTGTTAGTAAATTAATAATAATACATAACAAGTTGACGGAAAACACAAACCATTTAATGGAGACACTTGAACTTGGTTATTGCATCTGCTGCAACCTACATACAGCTACATACACAGTAATACAGAGAAATTGAGAATCAGGTATTCTTTTCACATTTTTTTGTTGTTGTTTGTTGTTTACATAAACGAGCGCCGTCGCTTTGTCTGCCCATTGGATGGGCGTGTTGTGAACATAGAACATTTCGCAGTTGCACTTATTCAAATTATATTTTCAATTTGACACTTATAAACAATAGATTTGTAGAACATATATAAGTATGTATGTATAAGATGCGCTTACAAATCAATAAATTAGGAATCAAATATTACAATACGAGACAGTTGTTTTTTGTTTTGTTTTCAATTTGTTTTGTTGAAAAACATATATGTATATATATACAAGGTTCTCGACTTCACATTCAATTACATTGTTTCTCGTTTGAGAATACAGAGCGGAGCCACAGCGTCTTTTAAATGCAGTCATTAGCTACAAAAGCCAGTACAAGTGGAAGTTCTTATGCATGGGGATCATCGTCAGATGCTGTGGCTGCTGTTTTAGAGAACATGAATATCGCTTAATACTTGCTAACTTAAGAACAGGCTATAGATTTACAATTGTACTTAGGCCTAATATTAGAATTTACAATTTTTAGTTGTACACTAAGACGACATTGGATTCGCGTGTGTATGTGTGTGTGTGTATATGTGGAGAGGGGACGGGGACGGGAAAGGAATCGTGGCCGTTCGCCGACAAAGAATATCTTTAAACACATATATATATATAAATATATATATATATATATAAATATATATATATATATCTCAATACATATATAAAAGAAAAAAAAAAGGTTGTAATTGGGAACACAAATTACGCGCTTATCATTTAAACCTAACTCCGGCTATCGTTGCTCTCGCTGAAGCTCTGTTCACTCGACTCACGCCGGCTGCTCACCGGCTTGGCCTTGTATTCTGTGATGAAAACGGTTACCGAATTCACGGTCACCTCACGCGTCTGCGCCGTCGAGCGATCCACGTTCTTCAAACGCGCTGGATACCGTTTGTGTCGCTGCCTGTCGTGCCCGCTGCCGTGCCGCGAACTGGACGCCGGCTTGCCGTTGGGCATGTTACCGCTGGCGCCGGGCAATGTGGCCGCCTGCTGAGCGACTAGCGCCGAGTTCAGGCGCGGTTTGCGCGTCGAGGTGCCTAGCAGCAATCGCAGCAGCAGCACCAGGAGAAAAACAGAAAAGTGAAAATGAGACCAAGCATAAACAGTAAAACGAGAGGGCGATACTATGCCACCGCATCACATGAGTGATTGGGTTTTTTTTTTACAAATTACTCGCAATTCAAATGCGACGTTGGCGTTGACGTTGACGCCGCGTCGCAGTCGCAGTTGGCTCTAAATCGAAATCGAGGTCACTCACCTTTTCTCACGTCACACATGCGACACTTGAACGCCTCCGCCGAGTTCCTGTACGTGCAGACGCTGCAGTCCCAGAAATTCTCCTCAATTACTTTCGCTTGGCGCTTTTGTCGTCGCACGGGCGAGGATTTTTTGTCCATAATAATATCGCTGACCAAAGAGATGACAAATGCAGCTGGCCGAATTTTTGCAACTGTTGTTGTCACTGCTGCTGCTGCTGCTGCTACTGTTGTTTTGGCTGCTCTTGCTGGGCGCAGCAACAGAAAGGCTCGCAAACGGTCACTGCAGCGCTGCTGGCTTACAAAATATGCACAATTTATGCTTAATTACTCCATTCATCTGCAATTGGCGAATTATGGCTGCTTTTTTCGGGTGAAAACTTTCTGCAATTGTCTTCTGGCCAAATAGAAAATTGTTGCGGAGTTGCCGTATGTGACGCGAGAATAAACACAAAATGTTGCTGAACTACCGCAATCACTATCGATATATCGGCGGCAATGTATCGATAGGCAAAACATCGCTAAGTATCTGATAAATATGCTTTGTTTATTTACGAATTTTGTTTTTGTTTCTTGTTTTCATTAACCTCAATGAATTAAAAACATCCATTTTAAATATATATTAAAAACACATTTTTATTACAAAAATTGACATTGATATTTACATATACCTCATTTGTCCTAAATCTAAATATAAAATTTCTTCTTAATTTTAGATAATATATGTACATGTTTTCATTAAGCTTATAATTCACATTTTCCTTAGATATAACTATGATCAAATCTATTGCTCCAGCATATTCTCAAAGTCCTTCAGCTCCAGCTCACGCTCTATGACCTGCGTGTAGAGATTATCAAGCGTTTCCTGCATCCTCTGCTTCAGCGTGGCATTCTGAATGGACGCAATTTCGGTTGACTTTTGCGATTGTTGATTCTTCAGTTCGCTTATTTGGCGCGTCAGCTGATTGATCTTCTCGTGGATTTGCTGTTGTGTATACTGTGGTTGCGGCTCATCCATGAACTCCAGATTCTCGAACTCCTCACGCTTGGTCATAAGCTGATTGTCATAGAAACCACTGGGCGCAGCCAAATTCGAGCTGGAGCCGGCTGCACTCAGCTTTGGACTGCTATTTTCGCGTCCGAACATCGACTTGTTGAACTCATTGTGTTCCATTTTAACGCCTCTGTTGCTAGCGCCGCCGCCAACGCCACCGCCGCTGGCAGCGCCAAAGAAATCGGACATGCGTGAATCATCGGCGGACAACCGTGAAGATTCCTCCAGTTCGTGGCGCTGCGCACGCGAATTGTTGCCGGGCAATGTGGGCTCGTCCTCGTCATCTGTGGTAGAGACCTCTTCGCCGAATATATCATGAGCAGCTACGCCCATATTAGGCGCCCGATGTGTATCGAAGTTGCTAGTTTCATCGTCATCCGACTCCACGTTTATCTCACGCTGCGAGGTGCTCTCATTGAGGGTCTTATCGCTGGCATGCATGGTCTCGTCCTGCATATCCTCATCGGCCTCGTTGTACGGCTTGATGTCTGACTGATCCAGCTCATCGCTGGGCTTGTCCTCCTCATTGATGATCTCGTATTCGACGCGCACAGCCTCGTTGTCGATGCGCAGCAGATGCTTCACTTCCTTCTCGATTTCCGGCGTTTCTACGTTCTTCTTTTTCAACGTTTTGCGAAAGCGTCGTTTGCGCACGTTCTTGCAGGGCGGCGTTATGCCATGGGGCCACAAATACTTTTTGTCCACCTTGTTGGGATCCTTTTTCTTGTTCTTGTTGGGCGACTCTTTCTCCGTCTCATCCTCCGGCTCCTCCTTGCATATGAGCAACTGGCAAATGTCCGCGGATTTATAAAAACTTTTATTGTCTATCGTCTTGTAGCTCTCCATAACTGTCGGCAAGTCGACAATTTTTGCGTAGAGCAATTGGTCATCGAGCCGCACTTCCCCATACCGCAAGTCCTGATCTAATTGTATAGATAATCGATCCTTGATGTTACCTGCCTGTATGGACTCGTGCACCACACTGGCCAGGTGCTAAAAAAAAGGTGGAAATTTGTCAAATGTGTCAAAAGAAAGCAAACGTTGCCCTACCTTGGGAAAACGCATTATGAACTGGTTCTCTAGCTCAACTCCATCATCCCTAGGCTTATGCTCAGCCTGTTTTTTCTTCTCAAACATTTTAACTAATAGATTTAACTTATATTTAATAAACAACAAACTAGGAAATTTCTGGCACAACTTTTACTACACTGTTGCATGTTCGATACCGCGAATATAATCAGCGTGCGGGTGGCAGTTATCGATAGTCGTAGAAGTGTTGAAAAGTGCCGCTCTGTGTGTTACATCTGGCAACCTTAATTAATGAAAAAAAAAGAAAAGCGCGCCTAAACTAATCAAATAAGAATCTACATTGTGTTTTGGACTTCTTCACACTTATGCTGTGTGTATGGTTAATAATAATGATATACGCTTAACAACTCTGTATCGTGGCGGCCGTATTGCGCCCACGTAGCGCGCAAAAATGGAACCCAAAGGCCGCCAAGCGGAAAACCAAGCGCAACTTGTTTTTTAACACACACACATGTATGTACATATGTATGTATGCATAGTTTATTTGTATGCATGATTAATTATAATATTCTTAAACAAATAGCTACAAAAATATATAGTACAAACAGCTGACGTTAAAGTGACATTTTAAGCTGTTATATGTGACTGCTTATGCAAATAGATCAACGTTTGGCTTATCTTATCTTAATTAATCGCGCTCATCCGACTGCATCATTTCACACCCTTCGGATTGTAGACACCCAAAAAGGTGTTGCACTTGCGGCAGTAGTGGTTGCCCGTGCGGCAGCTATTCATGCAATAGGGCACAAAGCAGGCGCAGACACACCAGCTACGGAATTGGCAATTGAATTAGAGTTCGAACCCAGGTTCTAGAGGCTTCCCACTTACCCCACCAGGCAGATGAGCGCTGCGGCCATATGAGTACGTGCGTTGGCTGTGTGCGTCATGCGAGTGGTCTTCTGTGCGCCACAGGCGGGACACAGCACGCGGCAGGGATTCGGGCCCAGATTTGTGGGACCTGCAACCAAGTTGTTGTTTATTTTTAAAACACAATTGCACGCAGCAGGACTCACCTGTCTGCACAAATGTGGGCTCCAGCTGTTGTGGCTGCGGCTGCGCAATCACAATCGTCGCTGGAGCGGGAGCAGGAGCGGGAGTGTGTGCTGCTATTGCCACATCATACGATGGCGGCGCCTCAATGGGCACGCCGAGCTGGGCAGCAGACAGTTCGTTTGTTGGCGTCGGCAGCGGAGCGCTTGGCGTGTTGAAATCCACTTGTGGATAGAGCATGGCACGCTTCTGTTCCATGGTGCGAAGTTCAGCTTTAACTTCAATATGAATCAGATACTACAGAGAGCGACAAATCACAGCCCAAAAGCTTTGTTTGCTTTGCTAATTGCCGTCTCAAACCTCGTCGTTGTTGCTCGCTCCGACACTCTGTTCACGCTCTCGCCGTGGTCTTTTTCGTTTCACTTTCAACACGCGACTGAATTCAAGTTTAGCGCTAACCAAAATAGCTGCCAGAGATCTGCGGAGAGCGAGCTTGAAAGCTAAAACGAAAACAAAAACAGGTACGACTGCGCTGTTTGAGCGTGCCCGACTAGGAGATACTCCTTACTTTCTAGTACAATCTTATTTGTTCTACTGCGCCTCAATATTTGTGCACCAAGGCTAAAACTTCAAAAAGGTTTCGTTTTAAATTGGGGAACAAATGTATGGGCCATTTAAAAAGTTAAATGTTTAATTACAAATCGATTTTTGTCAATTTATATATAGGTATTCTATAAGGGCTTTGAAATATATGTTTCAGCACTTCAATATACCTTTTAAGCCATTTTTTATGGTTACAGGGTATACAACAAAATCAAGTAAAAACTTTGGCAATCTTTTGCAACAATTGCACAACCGAAAAAAAAAACACGAAATTTAGATACTACAAATGTATTTGAACAATTTATCTAAGGTACACAAATGCCTGCTCTTTAAATACAGGTAGATATGTGCATATACGTATGTAATTAACCGCAACTGTGTGTACATATGCGTGTGTATGTGTATCTCAGGTATAATTCTGTATTTTTAGCCAAAGCTGCTGCTGCTGCTGCTGCAGATAAACGTTCATTTTGGAGTTCCACATCCGGCTATGCGGGGGGTGGGGTTGGGGGCGTCACTTGCGCAAATAGGTGCCCAGGTAGTGATCGCACATGCCGCAGTAGTGATTGGTGTTCATGCAGCTGGAAATGCAGTAGGGCAGGCACACGCAGCAGTAGAGTCTGGCGGAATGGAAAAGTATCGCAACAGTCATACAACAACAACTAAGCATTATCTGTGGCCCATTACGGCGATTACTCACTGCAGCAAGCACAGCACCAGCGCAATCAGGTGGGTGCGCGAGTTGGGCCTGTAGGAGACGCGGGTGCGCGTGTAATTGTGGCAGTACGGGCACTGTACATCCTGTGGCTCCGGCCCATACGGCGAGCTGGGCACCACGATCACCGTGTGCTGGGTGCTTGTCCCTGTTGTTGCCGGTCCGATTCCGGGTCCGGTTGTCTGGGCAGGCGTGGGCGTGGTCGTGGCCGTTGCCTGATCGTAGCTGGGCGGCGCTGGTGGTGCCAACAGCTGCTGCTGCTCCGGCTCCTCGTGCACCTCTTTAGGCACCTCCAGCGGCTCTTTGGGATAGACACTTTCCATAATTGGAGTATGACCGCAGTATGACAAATTCTCTGTCGGCGCTGTCAATGCTAGCCATGAAAAAGAAGAACGAAAACCTGCGACGCACCCAATCGGCTCTTATCAAATGTGGTAGGTTTCTGTTGTCTCTGCTTCTTGCGCCCAATTATTGAAAGCTTCCCGCCGATTGTGCGCTTATTTGTTTACCTTATGGGTAAAATGAGTAGCTTTCCATCAGAGTATGTGTGCGTGCGTGTCTCTTAACACCTAACAAAAAATGTTCGTGTGCGTGTGTGGAGAAATTGTTTACGTTTATTGTTGTTTAGCGTAAAGCTATTAATCGCTGCTATAGACGCCCACAAATTTGTTGCAATTGCCGCAGAAATGATTCGCATTCATGCAGCTGGTGGCGCAGTAGGGCAAACAGGCAAAGCACCAGAGACTGCACGAGTAAGAAAAACAAGCGCACACCGATAAGATAAGAGAGTGGGAGAGTTACTGATAACAGAGTCTGCGTTATCTTACCCCACAATGCAAAGCAGGGCGGCCATGCAATGGGTGCGCACACTGGGCGAATACTCGACGCGCGTCAGCTTCTGCACATGACAATGCGGACAGCTAATGTAGCACGGATCCGGCCCCACAGCGGGCGACGGCTGTTCTGCAAGTATTCCAAACAATCAATCAATTAATCAAATTGGCAACATGCTGTACTTACGCTGTATGATGACCACCTGAGCAGGTGTTGGCACGTGAAAGTGCGTTGCCTGCTCGTAGCTGGGCGGCTGCGGCTGCGCTTGCGCATACTGATAGCTCATGCTCGATTTTTATCCGCGCACAGGTCCGTTGTTAACCAGCTTCGATTTCGTACTCATTGTTGTTTTCTGCCTGCGTCTGGCAACAATGTTGCCAGCGCGCATGTTGCAGCAACATGCTGTTAAAAAGCTATCGAAACTTTCAGCAACATTTGCCAGCTCATTTAATTATTGCCAGCTAAACGCTTTGCTTCGATGTTTATTTGCGTTTCGTAGGCGATTTATCAGCGGCTTTTTCTAAAATGCACACTAGGGAATTTGTTATTGGCTCGCATTTATTTGCATGCAACCGGAAATGCGATTGGCAACCATATCGCCACATTTCCGCCTTAAACACGAACTCCAGAGGTTGTGTGATGCTTGGAAATAATCATCAGACTTTCCATGATCTTTTGTCTCTAAAATGTGATATATAGACTCTCTTATATCACAAGCAGCTTATGTGGATAACTCTCCAGGCTTATACAAATATAAAGAATCCAAGCTGCGTGCAGGGTATCAGCAAGTCGAGCAGTTGCCTCAAATCATCGCTTAGATTGTGGAAGTTACATAAGTAATCAGCCATGCACGTAAGTGTTAAAACAATTCAAGACATTTCAAGGAACGGCAAAAGATAATGTTCAATTTTTGCAATACTTAATTTTATATTATAGAATATATTTAAGAATATTTTAAAAAGAGGTTTACTGAATCATGAACAAATTTCTCCCTGAGGGGAAAAACCGTAGTGCTTTGCTCTGCAAACTTATATGCATATAGTATATGTATATCTGTGTATACAGTGTATATATATGTATATTGTGAGCTTGTGATGAAATCGAAGCCTTGAAAACGATCTCAATTCTGATAGGAGCCGATGTAGGCGCCACAACGACCGCATTTGTGCACGGCTGTCTGGCAGGACTCTGCACAGTAGGGTATACAGCAGCAGCAGATGCAGCTGGAGAAAAGAAGGAAATATCCTTAAAGAAGGGGCAGTCAGATTGAAATAACATTTGCTTACCCCAGCAAACACAGGAGCAGCGCAACCAAATGCGTCTTGGAGTTGGGCTCGAATGTGACCGCGGTTAGCTGACGACTGTGGCACGTGGGGCAGGTGGCCATACAGGGTGCGCTGCCCAGGACATTCGGTACTGAAGCTACAAACAAAAAAGGTGTCTAATAGATGTTGGGATGATCGTGGCAAACTACTTACTACCCGACGCAACTGGGGCTGTCGTCATGAAATGTGTTTCTGGAGCTGGCCTTAGAATTGGATTGCCACCGAATTCGCTATAGCTGGGAGGAGGCACGGGATAGGCATGCTTCGATTCCATTTTCTTTGGCTTCTCTAAAGGTCTGAAGTGCTCGCAGCCTGACGCGGAACTAAAACTTCTTGTCGAGTGAAACCGCAAAAGAAACCCGCCCAAGAAACGGGTGCAACTCGAAAGCTAACGAGCTGCGGAGAGTCATTGATAAGGCTTTGAAATAAAAGTAAATATGAGAGCACAAGATGTGTCGTCATAAAAGAAGTACCCGCAGGTGACAAGTCATACAGTTATGTTTCAAAAACAAAGGCTTATTGATTAATCAACAAAGAAACATTGTGCAATGTGAAATGAATAATATGCTTAGTAATATGAGCTCTGCCTCTTATCGAACATAATTATTATAATAATGACCCCAGAGCGATGGGCAAATAGATGGCAGTCTTATGTGTGCCATTAGAGGAGGCGATTTGAATAGAATGTCCCTTTCCATAGTTAGTGTATGATTATACATCATTAAGGTTAGCGAAGAATATAAGCTATAAGCCTCTCTCACAAAGATTCGAACTGGAGCCTCAGCTTTGCTTTTGCACAAACACACAATACTCTACATCCAAAAACTAGATTCGAACCCTCTTTCAAAATAGCTCTACAACATTAGACTACCCAGGGATTCAGTTATGTTAGGTTTCTATTGCTGAAGAGTCATTGCTAAGGCTTTGAAATGAAAGTAAAATATGATAAATATAAATTTCATATATAGAGCAGACTTGGCCAGGGATTCGAGTCCTCATCCTCGTGCTCCGAGACTAGCTTTAAGACTTCTCACATTTTATTTAGATATGTTCTAAGTTCTGGATTTCTTTATTCAAAATATAAGCATACATCATTTGATCCAGAGCTTAGCGTTCGTAGGTGCCAATAAAGGAGTTGCAAGAGGAGCAATAGTGGTCCACGTTGCGGGCACAGTCCGTGCAATACAAACAGGCGGCGCAGGGCCACAAACTGAAGGAAGGCAGAAATTTGAATACGATCTTCAAGTGAAGTTTACCAGAGTCTGAGTCTGAGTCTTTTCACTTACAGTGTCAGGCACATGATCAGGGCTAAAATGTGCGTTCTGGTCGTGGCATGGCCCTCCGTGCGTGTCATCATCTCCAGATGACAGTTCGGACAGATCACTCTGGAGGACTCGGGACCAACGTTTGTGGACATTTTGCTTTTGCCTCTATTACGTGTTTTATGTTGAGCTCCGCTGCGGTTGCTGCTCGTTGCGATACTGTGACTCTTCAAGAACTTACGGACTTTACTTATTATTTATTTATGAAAAGTAGAATAATAACCTGCATAAAATGCGCGCACGATAAACAACTCGATAAGTATATATGTAATTCTCTTTTCAAGTCACAAAAGCTTTCGAAGGAAGAGTTCCACAGATTGATTGAGCTTAAGTCTAAAGCGGGGATATATACCAGTAACTGGATAGAATCGAAACTAATAATAAAAGTTTGTGTATAACTTTCTCGTTTAATTAAGTGAAAATATATAATGTGTGTGCATCATATACAAATTCTGTTTGTTATTTAATTTTAAATTAATTTAATATTTTTTCAAATTAAAAAACATTCAAGTTTCAGATAGCTAATAGATAATTAATACCGAAAATCGTGTGGAATATCTTGAAGACATTACAAACTCCGTAATGTTAAGTATTTTAAGATTTCGTTTGTATTTCAAACCAGCTCGAACTGCTTCAGTTCTGATAGGTGCCCACGAAGGCGCCACAGCTGGAGCAGGTGTGCACGGCGCTCTGGCAGGAGTCCACACAGTACGGCACACAGCAGCAACAGATGCCGCTGCAAGTCAACGGAATTTCGATGGTAAACAGAGGGTCTCGAATGCGACCAGTACTTACCCCACCAGGCAAATCAGCAGCGCCAAGAGATGGGTCTTGGTGCTGGGCTCGTGCTTAACCGTGGTCAGCAGACGCGCCTGACACGAGGGGCAGGTGGCCACAGTTGGCACTCGGCCCAAATGATTTTGTGCCACACCTGCGTAAGTTATTAATTGTGTCTTGTGTTTACTTAACAATTGCTCGTCAATTTTGTTGGCTTCCACTAACCCTGCATGTAGACCTGCGGCTGTTGCACGTTGATGACGGACGCAGGCAACGCCGACGGCGGCATCTCCGTCGGAATCATTGACGGGCCGCCCAGGTCGCCATATTGCGGCGGCGCGTCCGGCGCTTGCGGATAGAGATGCGATTTGGTGTCCATTGCTCAGCTTTGGTCTTCCGAGCGAGGTCTGCTCCGTTTGCGGCTCGCGACGAAACTGAGAAGCGTGAAATTCCGCTGCTTTCCCGATGCCTGTCAGTCAATAGCAAAATAACACAAGTGTGTACAGGCATGTGTGTGTATGTGGGGGTGTGTGTGTGCTTGTATGTGTGCGCGTGTGAGCTAGATAATCATTTTGTCCAGTCAACTTCCAGCGCAAGAATCCACAACGTCAGCCATCTAATGACGCAAAGCTGCACGAGGTTTCAAGTCAAAGATTTATTTAATATCTTTAAGCAGTAAAATCTCAACGAAGGCCATAAAGAATGTGCCTTGGTTATATAAGGAGTATAAACTCAGCTTGAGCTGTAGGACATGCACATGGGGTATATAGGGCAAAGCTTATAGTAATAGTAATTGCAATTTTAATCGAGTGCATATCAAATAAGCTTTTAGTAAGCAGTTATGGTAAAGTCCCTTTGGCATTGTTATATTCCTGCAAAGCGCATAATAACTATTAGAAAAATGTACAACACATTAAACTTGTCACTTGCTTTTGACAATAATCGATTTGTATATATTATATATATTATTCAATACATTATGAAGTTTTAAATGCAAAACGTAGACAATTTCCTAAAAACATCACAGTACGATGGAGGTGTTTTATTTGCCAGTCCGGCCAGCTATGCCCCATTTCATATATATACTAACATGTTAAAAGGCTCTAGCGAATAGTTCCCGATTAGGGGATTCCCGGATTCCCTTCTATCAGCACCAAATGCTGCTCGCGCTACGAGCTTGTTTGCTTTAGCAGCAATAAAAACAAAAAAAAAAACAAAACAAAAACAAATTTAAAAGGCGCGCATGTGAATGTATGTGTGCACATTTTCTTGCAATCTAAGCACAATTTTCTTAGCCTATCGTGAAAACAGCGTTAGCCTTAAAATGAAAGATACTTGTTATATATGTACTATTCGAGCATATTCTATTCAAGTCAAGGGACTCTAGCTCTCGGGGGTATCAAAATTTCCATCATATCTCATATTAAATTATTTCAAAAGTGTTCGCAAAGTAACGATCTTTAGTTTTCCCTATTGGTAAATATATATAAAAGTCATGTTATTCTTGAGGTGAGAGCTACCTTGCCTGACAATCTTTTCCGGATCAGAACAAATAATACACACATTTGGTTTGTTTTTATTCCCAGAAACCATTGAAAATGTGTAAAACTAGAAAAATCGCTTTGTGCACATGAATAAAATAGGCAGAACGTAGCGTCTCCGACCCTAAAAAAATGTACATATATATTTTTGATCAGCATAGGAAGCCAAGTCGATGTTCCTAGTGCTCGCTAGTTTGTTTCTTCCTAACTTGTCTCGTTTCCAATCAATTGATAAAACTCAAAACTCAAACTCAAAATCTCTCAAATGTAATATGTAGCTTTTACAATTACATATATAGCATATAAAGATCGAGATATTTTGATAGCTATTCTTGGCTACATTTGTCGTTGATAGAGGAATGTTTAGGGTATCCCCTAGTCGGACACTCCCGACTAGAGCACTTTTACTTGCTTATGCTGTTTTTTTTTTGTCTAAATGTTTTCAATTTAATTTTAATTTGTGCCGATTGAAAACTTAATGGTGGCCCGCACTTAGTAATGGGTGCAATTAGTTGACGGCTTTGCCCAGGTACTGGTTACAGCAGCTGCAATAATGATCCAAGCTGCGGCAGCTCTTGAGGCAATACGGGAGCGGCACCAGGCAGACCAGCCTGGAAAACAGAACAGAAGGGCGCCGCCATGGCAACTTAGCTGCATGCCAGCAGTTGCAGCCACACTTAGCTGACTCACCCGGTTAGGCAGAGTATCAGGGCCAACAGGTGCGTGTTCTTATTCGCACGCGGCGCCAGGCGCGTTTGCATCACATTGCGGCAACTGGGGCAAGTCATGCGCTGCGGCTCATGCCCCAATGGCGGTGCGGCTGCAACAGGAGTAATGGTAATCCGTGGGTTGGGTGCTGCCAGGTGATGCAATCACTTACCATTTGCAGTGAGCACCATCACTGCAGCCGGCGCCGGCGTTGGCTGAGCTGTTATCTCAGCCTGGGCAGGAGCCGTTGACATGTAGGCGTAGTTGATCTGCTTGAGATCGGCCTCCATGTTAAGTTATGTGATGAGCACCTGAAACTCGGCGGGTTTTTATAGCCAGTTTCCGCATTTAGAGTTTTCCATTTGAGATTACGCGGCGTGTACGCAATAATCGACCCATTAAGGACTATTCGACACTTGGCTTGAACATTTATTTAATGTCTGACATTTCGAGAAACAATTGACATAAACATTACAAATTTGTTGTCTAACATCAAAATAATTGCATACGAGTAAATGTTAAATGCACTAAGTTACAGTCGTACTTCGCTATAATACAAGTCTTCATAGACAATAATATTCTGATTGTTTCTTGCATTTTATGTGTATCATCTTAATATTTGTTCGCTTTATTTAAGATTTGTTGCTTTAATTCCTAAAACGTATCTAAAAAAAAAAGTTTTATCTTTCAGGTTTTACTGTATGCCTTTTGCTTTCACAATATCTTTTCTTCGCTTTGCTGTAAACTTTTTTGTTGACCCAATATAAGCTCAAAGCGTTTATTTTTAAAGTACATTAAATATTAAAAATATTATGTTTATTAAAAACTGTGCTCAATAACAACATTCGTTAAAGCGTAGCTCGACTGTATGTAAAAAGAGGAAATGCAACTGGGCTGTGCTTTGTTTGAAGTTAACTAGCTGTGCATCTAGCTGCAAATATCAGGTGTACTTCAAGCTGTTAAAAGGCTGTTGGGACTTTTCAGCGCTCGTAGGTGCCGACATAGGCGCTGCACGAGGGGCAGAAGTGATCCATGTTGCGCGCACAATCCGTGCAGTACAAGCAGCAGGCGCAGGGCCAGCAGCTGGGTGGAAATAAATAATTAAATAGCCATTAGTCGGAGTAACTAAATATATAGTTGGGCAGAGCAGTTGCTTACCAGGTGAGGCACATGATTAGCGCTATCAAGTGCGTCTTTGTGCTGGCCTTTGGCTCGGTGCGCGTGGTCACCTGTTGATGGCAGTTGGGGCAGACCACATTGCTGGGCTCCGGGCCGACAGGTGTTGACATTTTGCTGTCGCAAGAAATATAAAGGGCTTGGTTAGTTATCGATTTGAAGTTGATGTTGACCTTCGCGTTCGGCTCGTTGCATGCCAACTGGCGTTTGTGGTGCAATCAGTGCAATGTCATCTGTAAAGCCCATTTAAAATATAGCTTTAAACATGATAATAACAGCCTGTTCGTGGTTCGTTTTTGTTTCACCATACTTTCACATGAATCTAATGCTAATTGCATATGAACTCAACAAAAAAGCGCGCCGATACTGGATAATTGCTTGGCATGCGGCAGGCAAATTAATTTCAATAACCCCAGCACACATTCTATTAAGCGACTCCTCTGATATCATAATACGCCTGACTTTTCATATTTTCTGTCCATGATGTCAGTTTGTGGCGCCAGCGAAAGTGTCTGCCACAAGCCACATGCCACATGCCACACAACGATGTCGTCATGCAAAAGGAGTCCCAGCAACCCCAACTTGAGCAGAGAGACAACAAAAGGTTGTACAAATAAACACAACTAACTACAAATATTCTCTCGATCTCCCCCCCTCACCTCTCACTCCCTTGCTCCACTCCTTAGGTTATGTAGGGCGTATCCACCATTATTTTTGGGTGTGTATCGCTATCTCCATCAATCCCCAGGGCAATGCTAATGTGTTAAGCCTTGACTGTCCGCTTTATTGCCTACTTTTAGGGATTTCACGTAGAGTACACACAACTTATAAGCATTAAATAGTACTTCGCCACACTCGCGCCGCATAAACAAATTTCGAATTCGAACATAAACACTTTCTGTACAGATTCATCAATAGCCTCGATATCGAACTGATCGCTGCCAGCTGTCAATTTGTATACTCACTTAGATATGTGTATAATATGTAAATTTATTTATGTATATATAGCACTTCTGCAGATGGAAGCGCGTTGCCGTCGCGTACTTGTTGCGCGTTGCGGGAACGAAAGCGTTTTGAAGTTCGCAACGCAGATGAGCCGCAGCCCAACCGATTGTTGGCATGTCAACCCTCAAATGATGCACAGTGGCGCAGTTTCCATTTTCATGGGCTCAAAAATGGCCCCTGACGAACTCTGCGTGAGCATAACTTAATAGATGTTGCCACCTGAAGAAATATTGGCAACGCCGCCTAATTCGTGACAGTTAAATTCGAAACTCAAGCTTTATCGATCGAAACTTCACCCTTCTCTTTATTCATCGAGCTAAAACTATTTGAAATGACGTTAATATTTAAAATATTAACATCTTTTACAGTTACTTGATGCCTCAGCACAACAGCATTTTAACCAATAAACTTTGCTCATTGGCCACAGTGCGACGAGAACGGAAACATTGCTTGGCAACAATGTTGCGAACATGTTGCTGAAACATAAGCTGGCAACTCCTTAATTTCGTTAACAGATATATTTATTGTAAGTATAAGTATGTGTGAAATTCAAACAATTTGTAATTATGTGGGGTGTCGTTAAATATATTTTGTATTTTTCAGAAAAATATAATATATGCATAGTTATGTGTTTATACGAGGCCGTACGTTGACAGGGAAATTTTCTGTTTACTTTGAATGATGTTTACTTTATTTATTTTTTTACTTATTGAAACGAATTGTTTATAGAAGCTTGCTTCGGTTGGAGCTTTAAGCAAGGGTTTCATTTCAAGAGCCGCGACTTTATCTTCCGTTTTTATAAATCAAATGTACGTAACGTATGTATATTCTTTGTTAGAATGCCCATATATGGAATATATCTGCATGTATATAATATATATATATATATGTGCTTTTGTAGTTAGAGTTTATCTGCTTATTGGCATGTACAAATATGAATGTACGTGATTTCTTTGTATTTTTGACTGAGCTTCGCAGTTTCCTGTCCAAGAATCGTTTTAGAATCTGCCCAGGCAGGCCTTACAGTTCGGGCAGTATTGGCTGGTTTTATAGCCGCAATCGCAGCAGCAGGGCAAGCAGACGCAGGGCCAGCAGCTGTGAGGGGGGAAGACGAATTGCAATTAGATACGCTGCGATTTGTCGCCGAAATCGGAATCTGTAACGTCACTACGTTTGTGTACACTTACAAAAAGAGGCAGAGTATAGCGGACCACATATATGTGGTGCATGTCGCATGGTGCTCCACACGCATGCGAATGCGAGCATGGCAATGTGGACAAATCATGCCGTTTCCCGAGTTGTTATCGATAAGAACCGTGCTGGTCTGGTTCAATACGGTGATCGGTGGGGCTTGGTTTACCACGGTGACCGGCGGGTTATACATCGGTGCAACATGAATCATTTCGCTTGGCGGAGCACTGGGGGCTGCCCTCATGCCGGGCTGCTCAGGTGAGTACGGCGGCGGATTTGGGGGCAGCTTGCTATATTCCATGGCTAGTTTAGTTACACGTGCCTGGAAATCAAGGTGTTATCAATATCTGACACTACTCGACTACTGCGCCGTTACTGCAGGGAAAGAACCATAATATAAATATGTACATATGTCCGAGCATGCACAAATGTATGTATGTATAATAGAAACCTTTTATTTGAAGTGCTTTTACAATTTGTCACACTTTGCCCTATACAATTTTATGAATATGTACGTTTCTACATGATTACAAGCAATGCTTACTTTATATTTATGAACTTTGGGTATTTATCTTTCGAAATAGTCAGCAAAGCGAGCGAAGCGACCGGCGACTTCTTTCAAGAACACAAACGAAATGAACAAAGCGCAAAAGACGAACAGCGGCAAGAAGAAGCAAAAGATTTGAGCATTCTTTATATTTGTGCGAGCGAGATGGCAACAGAAGCCACATTTTCAGTGCACAAAACGGAAAAAGTGCTCAGAAAAGCCTTGCAAAACATAATTGTTAGCCCAGTAAACATATTTTTGGTAAGAAAAAGTATACATGCTTTAGTTATATATCAAAAAGTGAAGCATAAATATGTATTTCCAATCGAGGGGCTAGAAAATAAATGGTATTAAACAAGCATCATAGATTAAACTAAATATATGCAGCGTTAAAGCACAGCTGAAAGAAATGCAGAGGTGCAAATATTTCTATATTGAAATCATTGCATACTTTTGTGCGCAACACAAAAATGCAAGCGTTAATTTCTGCTGCATACTTTTAGGCATGTGAACTAAGAAGCATAGCTTCAGTTTCAACTAGAAAATCAATATACTAAATGTGTCATTCAATTTTAAATTAAATAAACGATATTAATCGTTTTATCAAGCCTTAAATATAGTATTTATCAGCGTCAATGCGCTCTGGCGTATCACTTAAAATAACAATTTAATTTTATTATGCCCATCGATAAATCTGATCCTTACGAGTCTAAATTGGTATATCATTAAAAAATCTGATAGTATTTATAAAAGTTATAGGATAGTAGTTAACAATAATTATTTTTGAACGTACTACTTATCTATGTTTTACAGTAGGTCAGTTCCTTTATTAAAGCACAATTTTGAATTTCGATTTCCCCACACTTTCAGAGCATTCGGCTGCCTATGAAGGCATTGCAGACGGGACAGTAATGGTTCGCCGTCTTACAGGAGTCCACGCAGTAGGGTACACAAACACAGGGCCAGCAGCTGTGTTGGAAAATTGTAAGATTAGATTATTGTGGTTACTGATAAGTAATGAATTCGACAAGCTCTAGAGGCAAGCTCTAATACGGCTGTCTTCCAATTGTCGGATCATTTGTGGTTAGTCTTTACTTTTACAATTTGATAATTTACGGTTTTCAGATAACAATACAGTTGAAATGAAACTTGACTGCTAACGGTCAACGGGTTCAATATCACAAGCTTACCCAATTAGGCACAGTAGCAGGGCCCACATATGCGTTCGTCCTGTGGGCGTATTTTGAATTGTGGTCACCACATCGTTTCGGCAGGTGGGACAACGTACGAAGGTCGGATCCCTGCCCACTGGCACATGGATAGGTTGTGTTGTGTGTATCAGGACACAGGAACCTGGTGGCTGTTGTTGTTGTTGCATGGGCGGATAGAGTGGCGGCTGCGTCGGACCCGTCGGATACGGCTGATAGGCTTGCGCTGGCACAAAACTGATCTGTGCTTGAGGTGTTGCCTGTGGCATTGGCTGCGGTTGCGTTTCCGGCAGCGGCTGTTCAGTGTACGGCGGCGGCTCCTGCTTTTCCATGATCAGTTTCTGTTCCCTGTATTATCTTTATATATTGTCACTGAGCAATCGAACCTTTCAGCTCGCTGTTTATTGTTTTACTAAACTAGCCACACGCGAACTAAGGCCTGATAATGTGCACAAAATACAAAAATGTCCATGAGTTTACCTGTTATCGAACTTATCTCTTAAACCTGCACAGCTGGCATAGATTAGCCCGTGCTGACATCTGGGAAATGGGGGACTTTTCAAGTTAAAGGGCAATTTAACAACCTGTTCCTCTGACAGTGGCCAAAATGGGCCGCCAACTTTTAGAAACAAGCGTAATCGACCACAAATTTATTTCCTATCAATAACGGAAAAACGATAATAACGGACACACTTATTAGACCTTATCATCTAATATTCCTAACATTTTCTCAAGGTTCGCACAACAAGTTTCGTAGTTAATGAATAGAATAGTAACATAGTTTTGGTTCTATGTGCTTATCCTGATATTTATTATATGAGTTATACTGAATCTTAACTTATCCAATATTATCCCTTTATACAAAATGAAATTTGTCCTGACTGAATGTGTGTAAAAGTTATATAGCGGTAATTGCGTCTTCTGGCGCCAAGACAGGTTGCAATTCCACCCGCAAATGTGAAATATTCGTGAAAACAGTTGCATGAAACTCATATTTACAGATCTTTGATTCACACTTTTTGCAAAATCCAACCTTTCATGGTGGAAAATTGACGAGCCTGTGTACGGGCTCAAATTCTAAGAAAAAACTTAGTCCGGGTAAAGCTTGACAAATCACGCAGTAAATCCGTATACTTATTTGATATGTATGAACGCAACATTCTATAGATTCAGTCGTGATCGTAGTGCTTTAATTTGAGACTTTAGCTTATTTTTAAATACAAAAATCGTTCTTAAATGTAGGTCCTAGGTTAGTTCTCGTAGGTGCCAATGTAGGCGCCGCAATTGGGGCAGGAGTGCTCAGCGTTCTGGCAGGAGTCCATGCAATAGGGCACACAAACACAAGGCCAGCAGCTGCAAGGGGAATAAAAGAAGAAATCATTTCGAAATGTATTTCCATTGTCAGGCGTGAATGAGTCATGCATGACTAAACGAGCTTAATTCGGCCCAGTGCACAGATGAGTCATGCGCCGAGCACTTGAAGCTGATCAACTTACAGGAACAGGCACAAGATCAGGGCCCAGCAGTGGGTGCGTCCCGTGGGCGTGCGTTTCACATTGGTCAGGATGTCGGCATGGCAGGAGGGGCACTGGACACGCGACGGATCGCTGCCAATGGGCACCACATTCGTTGTGGTTGTCGTTTGGATGACCACATGGGGTGGTCCGGGCTGGTAGGTCTGCGCTGGCGTGTATCCCTGGCTCATGTTGCTCTAATAATTCCAATTAAATGTTCACTGTTCAATGGCTTTCCTTACACTGCAGCATATATAGGTGCTTCTGTAGAACCTACTGTACGGTTCCACAGTCAGATATCGTGTCGCGTTATCTTACAAGGTGCGGCCATAACTGATAAAAATATAGAATGAGAAAAAGATAGCGAGAGAGGTAGATGGAGAGAGAGAGAGAACACTGAAAACAATAGGGGACTTTTTACGATTTATTGTTAGAGTTTCGCCTAATGCTAATCCTTTACGGTAAAACGTTGTTTTATTTTTGCTATTTAAGAATTGTTAAGTGATATCAATAGGTCTGACTCATGGCTGAAAAGTGGTCTGGCGTTAGGTATTTACGAGCTGCATTTTCTATAAAGTTGACTCATTTCAACAGTTGGTACACTCGGAAACTGTTGATAAGCCCAGCAGCACTTTAAATGGGTTATATATCTCTTCCTCTTTGATCTTGATAAATTTACTGAATGGGGCTATTTCTTGTTCAACTATCTAATTATCTTAGATAACTTAATGAACTCAGCCAGCTAGAGATAATACGAGTTGTATGTATGCATATAATTCTAATTTCAGCCATTTCTATTTTATTCTGGGCGAAATAGGCACATGTAAAGTTGATTTACAATCGAACTAGCCAGAGATTTTACCAGATCGAACACATGCGAAGGAGGTCCAAAAAAGGCCTTGCAGCCTAAGCAGATATCGTTTATTCATCTCGTGACCCCGAAGTCAATAAATATCGATTTCTTGACAGGGCTTTCAGGCAATACTTCCCATTTGTGAGTATAATACTATATAAAAAAGCGTATAGTCTGTTTGGTGAAAAGTAACAAACCCAAAAAATAGCTTATCTGACACCATAAACTATATGTTCTTGATCAGCATCAGCGCCAAGTCGATTGAGCCATGTTGTTCCATTTCCATATAACCACATCGATCTGTGATACTATATCTACAGTACAGTCCCTTCTAGAGTCTTGACTTTGGAGACGCAGCTCACGCGTATCAAATTCTTTTCAAGTCTTTAATGACTAAAATCTCATGAAATCGATATAAATCGAAATTTAGATTCGAATTTTTCAGAGATCAACGAACTAGAGACACCAAGTTTGGTATAAAGGGACACGAATATTGAACAAAGATTCAGAATTATAAGCAGGAATGTTTCCAAGAGCAGCTCGGCGTTGGGTGCAGGGTACCTCCTAGTCGGGCAGTCCCAGCCACTTTTGCTTGTTTCTATTATTATTTACAAATATCATGTATATAGATTAAATTATGAACTTAACTCATATTTATTATCGGCTTGATAATATAATCGAAACCTGCTAAAAAAAAAGCGACAACCAAAAATGGTCTCTCACTGACATGCACAACCAGTACACCTGCTCTTTCCATAAAAAGGTGAAAGGAAAAAAAACACAGCGTATACGTAATAATTTACTTGATATACTCGTATATTTACAGTTCGTTCGAATTCGTTCAGAGTTAAGATCTATGTACACATGTGCTTAATTAGAACACATACATATACACATGTGCATGTGTATGTATATGTATATTAATTCTCGTAGGTGCCTATGTAGGAGCTGCAGTTGGGGCAGTAATGATTGGCATTCTGGCAGGAGTCCATGCAGTAGGGCAGGCACACACAGGGCCAACAGCTGGAGGTGAAGAAGAAGAAGCATAAGAATATATATTAGTTATTTATAAATATATATGTTTATATGTATATATTCATAGCGAGCATAATAAAAGGTTTTTCAATTGAAATACGGCATTGTGACAGTTTAACGCAGTTGTTTCTGTGATATCTGACTGAACTCCGCAGCCAGTTGAGATAACAATGGTACACACACACACGCACACGCACACGCATACACCCACACACACTCGACACACACACCCTTGCACTTTAGATAAGCGTCTGGTTATGTACAGCGCCGTATTTGTGAGCGAATGTCACTTGTTGCTTGCGGCCCAATTGCAATTGGAACTGATTCACCTGCTGGCACACACCTACACACACCTGCACACACACAAATCGACTTACACAAATAGGCATAGAACCAGGGCCCAGCAATGTGTACGGCCGGAGGGTGTGCTCTTAACGGTGGTCACCACCTCCGCATGACAGGAGGGGCAACGTATGCGCGTCGGCCCGCTGCCAATGGGCACCAGATTGGATGTGGTTGTCGTCTGTATGATCACCGTCGACTGCTGCGGCGGCTGTGGCATCGGCGGATACAGCGGCGGCTGTGTGGGTCCCGACGGGTACGGCTGATAGGTCTGTGCTGGCGTATAGCCGGGCAGCGGCTGTGGCTGCGGCATCGCGCTATACGGCGGAGGCTGCTTGCTGTCCATGTTTGGGCTGTGCTTCTCGGGCTGCTGGAGCTTGGCTCGACCGCGCGGCTTGCTGGCTCTCGTTCGACTGAGGCCAGCGAGAAAATCGGCTGCTGACTATACGCCCGCCCAACTCGGCCCATAGCTGGGCCAATTCAAGCCAATTCGGGCGTATCTTATCAGCTATTGTGCTGCCTGCGATTAGCTGGCAAACACCTTGGCCATAATATGTGCCCAATTGGGCTTAGTTTTTTGGCAGTTTGTTGGCTTGTTTCCGCTCAACACTGATACTAGAGCATGTAAACACAAACACACAAGATCTGTTTCTTAATATACATATTTACATAGAGATCAGTGCGAGCTCTGCCTGAAAATCCGCTCTGTGACTCACAGTCTGTGACGTCTCTGGTTCGAGCCCTTGTATCGCTTGAATCTATTGAGAGGGGGCTGGCTCCGAGTATTTCACCATATATTACACTTTCAGACGTTATATTTTATTGCTATTAATAATATACATATGTATATTAACAAGTGGGAACGCTGCTGGGCATGGGAAATGCACTTGAAGCAGGGCACAGGTGTTTATTTTTCATCTCAACTTTTCAAGATATTGTTCAAATATATGTAAATATAGAATCCATCCAGATTTGGTCAAGAACTCTCTTTTAGACTCGATTATTAGGAATTTGCCCAGAATTGATGATGCGGTTGAGTTCACAGACTGGCAACCCAATATACTCTATATTTCCGTTAGGAACAGAGTATAACAAGATCAAAGATTATGTTTTAGAATTTATAGCTCTGGGTACGATAGAACGAGTGAAGTGCCTTAGTACGTGTACTTTATTTACTCATTTTAAAATTAAAGCCTCATCATCTGACGTCACGGCAAAGAGACTCGACTGAAAGCTCGCTGCTAACAAAAATAAGAACGAATGGTCGAAGATATAATACCCTTTTGCTGGAATTGCTTTATTTCCGATCCATACGATAAAAATGTTTGAAGAACACGGCTTGGCAGATACATTAGGAATATAGTGAAGCTCGTGATTGTCAAGATATCTAGAAAAAAATAAAAGGTTTCTTTTAATACACTTTTTTCGACCGATTCTCTATAAGATATAGTAGTCTGTTGTGTTAAGATTTGACATAGAATTAAGGTGATTTTTACCGTTGGTTGCTATTATTCAGAAAGAGCTCAAGAGCTAAATTTAAGTAAAACCTGTGCCCCTAACCATAGAAAATATTTTCTAAAAGATCATATTCAATTTAAAAACAAAGACAAAAGACGACATTAAACAATTCGTGACAAAATAGTTATACCCTCTGCAAGGGCAATCAGCATGAAGCGGCCCTTACGAGGTATGCACATCGATCGCGAGTATTCTGGATCAAGGCGCGGCCCATAACGGGAGTTTGTTTTGCTTATGATTATCAGAGCTTCTCTCAACAACAACAAAAGCCAGCTATTTGAGCGGAGAGCAATGTCAAAGTCTGTTTGATTTTGTGCTTTCAGCGCGCAAGTCGAACAAAAGCGAAAGCTCAAAGACAACGGGATACAAAACATGCGCCGCTTAAGCTAACGTCTGCCTACGCTGGAGCTTTCTGACAATGGTGAAAGCTTTTCTAGTGGCTGTAGCTTTTGGCGCTACCTTGGCGCTTTCAAGTTCAAACGTTAACAGTTGAGCCATGAAAATAATGTTAGGCAAATATGAAAAAAAAAGTCAGATCGAAGAGCAGGAAACAAATAACAAATAGAAAAAAATAAGAAACAAATTTAAAAAAATAGCAGAAAAATAACGACAACTGGTTTTGAAAATTACACACACAGCACTTGACAAACATTTGGCCGATGTTTTTGTTATTTCATTTTCTTTCTTCAACTGTCTTGTACTTTAACCCAAATTCAAACCAAATAAGAAACACTTGCGCCAGCCAAGCGCCGCAGTAAGCAGACATGAGCCGGCAACTGAGGTTCAGCTTCCAAGCGCCGCCGGCCGAGGCATGCCACTCGGATCTGGTGGAGATCAATTTGAATGGCGGTCGGGCACAGGCCAAACAGCAGTCGGCGCAGGCGCTGGACGAGCTGTTGCAGGCCAGGACTACGGCCACGTTGCCCACGCACCGTGGCTATCCCTATGGCTACGGCGACACGGATGATGAAGCCGACTTTTATTTCTGCAAAAAATCGAACTCGACCGGCCAGCTGGCCGAGAAGGTATCGCCGCCGCCGCCCTCCGCCACCAACATCAGCTGCCTGCGGCAAATGTACTGTCCCGAGTGCCACGAGCGTCTGCATGAGCAGGGCGTGCGCCTGGAGCGCCTGATCACCCTGTGGTAGGTAGCCCAAGCCCAAGCCCAGCTGTTGGCGGCCTTTGCTTTAACTCTGTTCTTCTCTGTTGCAGCTGTTTCGCCCTGCTGCCCATCTATCCCTGCTGCATGCGACGCTCAAAGGACGAGTGCAAGGTTATTTGCGGCAAGTGCGGCTACTTGCTGGGCGCCTGGAAGCGCTAGCGAAGCGCTCTTGTGGTTTTTTGAATTCATTTTTGTTTAGTTATACATTTTACGCTATTGTTTTTGTTAGTTTTTAAGCACCAATTGACCCTGCAATGCGTGGGAGAGCCATAAGTATTTGTTTTTATTTTTAACGGAGATGAGCGCGAGCAATCTCTTCCTCTCTCGCTCTCTCTCTCTCGCTCAGTTGCCGTGCCTCTCTGTCGCTCTGAGTGTTTCTTTGGGCTGATGTGGTGTGCCGCCTGCCGCTGCGCCCAGTCGCAATGTCAAGCGCGCCGAACATGTTGGACGAGCTGGAGCAGCAGCTGGATAATGTATCCGCTGCCACGGCCACACTGGAACTGGGCGAGGAGCAGCAGCTTCATCCGTCGAAGCCGCGCCTGCGCTTCTATAGCGTTGGCCCCAGCACCTATCGCGTGCTCTGTCCGCTGTGCCAGCATCGCTCCCGCTCGGAAACGGTGCAAATGTCCGGCGCCCTGGGTCAGCTTAGCTGCCTGCTGTCCGCCCTGTCCTGGTGAGTGGTGGCATGGCATCCAGCTATTATAATTTCCAACTGATTCCTTGCAGCTGTTTTCCCATTTTCGCACTGAGCTGCGTCTACTCCTGCCTGCAGAGCCGCCTGAAGAGCAAGCGCGTCTTTTGCAGCAGCTGCGGTGGTCATTTGGGCTTCCACTGGCGTCCCATTTAGCTCTGTTACTGTTACTGTTTCCACATTTCTTTATTATTTTTTTTATTGGCCACAATTTTCGCAAGTGTTCTATAAATAAACGCAGTTCGCGCAGCGGTTGCCAATTTTCAGCATTTTCTTTTTAATAAGTACGAATATTTCTATCAACGCCTCTTGATTATGCTTCTTCTTCTTGTTGTTGTTGTTGTCCACTTGGAGAACTCAGTCTCTCGATCGATCTGCCGCCTCTCAGTTAGTGGATTTTCGCAGTTGTTATGGCATCGCTTAGTTGCTCAGAGGCCGTCGTTGTCATCAAATGGCCAGCACTGAGAGTCTGGACGGCAGCGCCTGTGATTTTGGCGGCATCTCGGCTGTGCCACAGGTGGGTCATTTGCCACCCGAGCCGCTTGAGTTTGTCTGCCCCGCCTGCCAGCAGCTGCAAACGAGCTGCGTTGAGCACGAGGCCGTCACTTGCCTACAGAAGGTCGCATGCAGCCTGAACTGGCTGCTCTGTTGGTGCGTATATACACATACATAGTATCTCGATCTTCCAGGCAGATCTACAATTTATATTCATAGCAATCCCATACGGTGGAGCGGTCGACAAGACACTAATCATTATTGCAGCGCCTGCGGCTGCTTCATTGGACGCCACATCTCGCTGAGCTGGTACAAACGCGCTCTGTTCCGCATGCAGCGCTCCGAGGTGGAGGACAATGGACGCTGGCAGCGTTTTCGCAAGGTGGAGAAGGAGCAGCTGGACGAAAAGAAGCTGGGCAAGCAGCGTGCCGCGCTTAAGCAGAACTAGTCTCACCTTTTTTTGATATTTTAAATAACATTTTTAATAAAAAAAAAAAGTAATAACCTTTAGGCAGCGAGCCACTGATTCATTTGCATAAAAGGCTGATTGTGTTCTTAACGGACCTTTGAGCTAATGGGCTTCCTAGCACATTGAGCAGTGTTGCATAACTTAATTTAAAATTCTAAACTAGAAAGCAGCGAACCACTGATTCATTTGAACAAATAGCTCTGATCGAATAATGAACGCCAAAGCTCGCTCAGCTGCTGTTTGTCTATGAAAAAGCGTTGCTCGCACTGAATTTTTGCTCCGTTATGACGTCACGATCAAACAAAACGTGCTGTAATTGCGATTCTCATCGTAAATAATTCCAGCTGAGTGTTGGCTTCATACGCTTATCGCTGCAGCGCTTTTATATGCATATAGATTCCAGCAGATCGGCAACTGGAACACGCTCTATATAAGTTTTAGCTACAGACGAATCGCTTTCAAGACTCGAACAGACGCTCTTGTTCAGTTTGCCCGGGCATTTCGCCAGAGATAGTGCTCCAGAATGTACCTCGTCTTGCTACTGACCATATTGCTGGCGCTGCTGGTGCACTATTTAAGACGCATTTATAGCTATTGGCAGCGCGAGGGTGTGGCCGAGGAGCCAGCCAAGTTTCCCTTTGGCGTTTTGGATAAGCTGGTGAAACGACAGCGCGGCTTTGGACTCATCATAAGCGATGTCTACGAACGGCACAGATCAAAAATTGTGGGCATCTACATGATGCACAAACCGACTCTCTTGGTGCGCGATGCGCAATTGGCCCGCCAGATCATGACCAGCGACTTCAGTAGCTTCCACGATCGTGGCATCTACGTGGATGAGAAGCACGATCCGTTGTCGGCCAATCTATTTAATTTACAGGGTGCTTCGTGGCGCAATTTGCGCAACAAACTAACACCCTCGTTCTCCTCGGGCAAGATCAAGGGCATGTTCGGCACGATCGATGATGTGGGTGACCGACTGGTGCAGCATTTAATGGGCGTCATAGAGAAGGCGCCAAATGAAGCAATTGAAATCAAGGAGAAACTCACTACCTATGCCGTGGACATAATAGGCTCGGTGATCTTCGGCCTGGAGATCGATAGCTTTACCAATCCCAAGAACGAGTTTCGCGCTGTCAGTGATTCCCTCTTAGTGGAAGACGATTTGGTGCTAAAAATTCACAACATGGCCTCGGTAATATTCCCTCCGTAAGTATACTCAGCCAGATCGTCTGAAAATCAGTCTTATTCCATGATCTGCTGTCATCAACAGCCTTGCCAAGCTCATGAATCGTCTTGGCTATGAGAATAAAGTGCTTGCCAAACTGCGTGACATTATGCAGCACACCATCGAGTTCCGTGAGAAGCACAATGTCGTACGCAAGGATTTGCTGCAGCTGCTCATACGTCTGCGCAATACGGGCAAGATCGGCGACGACGATGACGAGGTGTGGGACATCGAAACGGCGCAGGAGGAGCTAAAGGCCATGTCCATTGAGAAGATTGCAGCCCAGGCTTTTCTCTTTTATATAGCTGGCTCGGAGACCACGGCGGCTGCATCTTCCTTTACGCTCTATGAGCTGGCCATGTACCCAGAGCTCCTCAAGGAGGCACGCGACGAGCTGGATGCAGTCATGAAACGTCACAATCTTGAACGCGGCGACAAGTTTACCTACGAGGCGGTGCAGGAACTTAAGTTCTTGGATCATTGTATTTTGGGTAAGGATCTATAAAAAGACTTTTGAATGCCTTGATATCAATTCCCCCACAACAGAAACCATACGCAAGTATCCTGGCTTGCCCTTCCTCAATCGCGAGTGCACTCAGGACTTTGCGGTGCCTGACATCGACTACACCATCAAGAAGGGCACGCCCATTTTGATATCACTCTTTGGCATTCAGCGTGATCCCAGCTACTTTCCCAATCCCGAGGACTACGATCCTCATCGATTTGATGCTGATGTTATGAACTACGACCAGACAGCCTATATGCCCTTTGGCGAGGGTCCCAGACACTGCATAGGTGGGTTATACCCGTTATCCAATTAAGCTTCATTTTATTTAAAAGAGGTTTTTCTTATTTGACAGCTTTGCGCATGGGCAAGGTCAATGCGAAGGTGGCTGTGGCCAAAGTACTTGCCAATTTCGATTTAATAGAAGCACCACGTAAGGAAGTTAAGTTTCGCTTTGATCCTGCGCCTGTGCTTCTTCCGGAGGGGGGCCTGCACGTGCGCCTGGTGAAGCGTGCCTAAGTGCAAAATGGGTGCCATGTAAAACTATTTGTAAATTCAATTAATCATGAAATACAATTTTAAAGCCATTAACAAATAAGCTGTCGATTGAGGATGAGCGCATAAATCAAACCGCAAGGTCGGAGAAACTTTGTTTATCATTCGATCAGCTTCAAAATCTCGTAAATTCAGGTAAGATTATCGGTGTGTACATAAAAGTCGGTCCATCTGCTAATAAATGTCAAAAAATAATCGTAAAATCTGCGATTTTTCTATGAGTGATGTAGAAATATAGAAATATACGATAGATCAAGCTTTATATTGTGGATATTAATCTAATATGTTGTATGCTTCGAAATATTTTTTTTTTCTGCAAGGTCTTCAAGTAAATGTTCTATTCATAGAAAAAAACATGCATAGGCAATTCAGATCTAAGCATTAATAACCTCCTAGTGCCTAGAAGGCACAAAATTAATTAAACATAAACTTAAATTTAAGCAGAGCGAAAAAATAAGTTTCTGCAAACTTTTTTTGGATTTCAAGTTCAACTGAGGGAGAGACACAAAATAAATATGTGCGCTCTCTTTGTTGTGTGTGGGCAGTTACCAAGCGACTGCGAAGTTGCTCTTCCTCTCTCTCTCTCTCTCTCTCTGTTTCGTTTGCTCTCTTTTTGTGACGTCACTAACATGTTTCGGCTTAGACAGGTGACTTATCAGCAGTGTAGAATACCGCTCAAATGCCAGTCAAAGTCTTATTACGATTCCAGTCAGACACCAAAGGAACACCCTATATAAAGACGGCCAGCGACAGGACGAAAAACTTCCTTTATGCTCTATGAACTGGCCATGTATCCCGCGGGTGTAAGCTTACTTACGAAGCACTGCAGGATCTAAAGTTGCTGGTTAAGTGTATTGTGGGTAAGTGTACTCTATACATTTTCTCTAAGAAATTCCCCTCTCATCAATAGCTTTATATCATTAAACAGTAACAATCGGGAATGCGCTCAGGACTTTGCGGTGCCTGGTATCAACTACACAATCAGGAGGGGCACGCCCATTTTGATAACTCTTCTAGTCATACAACTTTCCCAATCTGGATTACTACGATCCACATCGATTTGATGCTGATGCTATGAACTATGATAAGTTGGCATTTATGCCCTTTGTTGAGGGCCCCAAACATTGCATGGGTAGAATCTTCTGTAATTTGGTTAAGAATTTCTATTTCTAAATAGATTTTCGCTCATTTTCCCAGCTATGCAAATGGGCAAGGCTAGTTCCAAGCTGGACAAGATACTGGCCAGCTTTGATTTGTTCCAGGCGCCACGCAAGGAAGTCAAATTCGTCTTCCATCTAGCATCTGCCGCGCGGGGAACGAAGTGTGTCTAGGGCAAGAATTCTATAAACAAGAAAAATAAAACGCAAAAACATTTTTGAAATCTGACAGCTCAAGTGGTCCGTGTGTGTGCATACCATAAACATATATATATATATATAGATAGATATATATACATATATTAGGCAGTCTGGCAGCCGATCTATCTATGGTATTTCGTAATGTGTGACGCTCCGAAATGCTTCACATTTGTTAAGCAAATAAACAATAAGCAATTTGTTTGTTGCTCTGGTTTTGGTTCTGGTTGGCGTGCCACACAGAATAGCTCCAGCCGATGATGACATCATATGCGATCCACACACAGCGCAAGAGATACAGCATTGCGTATACGCCTAGTGAGCGAACGCCCGCTCTCGCTCCGAATTGCTCTTGGCTCGCTTAATGCTCGCCGCTGAGGGCAGCGAGTGTTGCCCAGCCAGTTACAATGGAGACGCAGACGCTGCAGATCAGACTGCTGCCGGCACAGACAGCCGAGGAGCGTGCCCGCAACATAATAGCCAATGTGGTTGTCGAGGGTCATCAGGCCGCGCTGGTGCCCTACATCGATGAGCATGTGGGCCAGGCGGCCGAGAAGCGGACGCTGCTCACCCAGCTGGAGGCGGCACCTGCTCCGGCACAGCCACGCCTGCGCTACTACAAGCCGGGCCCCTCCACCTACAAGCTGCTCTGTCCGCTGTGCCGCGAGAGAAGCGATGCGGCCGTAATGCGCGCCGCCGGCTGCAAGGACGCCAGCTGCTGCCTGAGCCTTCTCTCCTGGTGAGCTCCAACTCCACTTTGTATGCACAGACAACTAATTTTTAAGATTTTTCTTCTCAGCGTGTTTCCCATCTTTTGGATCTGCTGCATTTGCACCTGGTGCGGCTGCAATCGCGAGTGGACCACCAAGGGCGTCTACTGCAGCCGCTGTGGCGGCAAGCTGGGCATTCAGAGCAAGTCCGATTAGGTCAATTAAATTGATATAAATGCCACACATAGTTTGTTTTAATTCTATTACGCATCTAACTCAATTAAAGACCCGCTCGCCCGATCTCTCCCGCTCTCACTCTCCCGCTCTTTTTGTGTCTCACTCTCTGGCATTCGGACGCTCTCTGCTTGCTGTCCAAACAGGTTGCCCCTAGGCTTTAGCCACATTACGCTTTCAGTTTTCAATTTGTTCAGCTATGGCCACCACCACCACGACGACGACGACGACGACGCCGGCGACGACTGAGGAGCAGCAGCAGCTGGCAACTGCGGCCGCGGAGGCGCAAAAGGAGCTCGATATCTATGAGAACTTTGCCACGCCGCTGGCGGGCACCTTTCTCAATTTGCCACACGAGTCCGTGCTGCTTAAGTGCCCCGCCTGCGGCATCAAGGATTACAGCGTGCTGCAGAACGATCTCAAGTGGTGGGCCAGCGAACTCAATCGCATTGTGGGCTGTCTCTTCGTGTAGGTTTTGCCGCCAGACTTGATCTGCACGTGCCGTGGACTAATCTTTGCGCCTTCCTTTCCAGCACCTTCTGTTGCTGCTGCTGCCTGGACTATATTGTGCCCTGCAAGCAAACGGATCGCAGTCATTATTGTGGCAACTGCGGCTGCTACTTTGGGCGCGCCATGAAGCGACGCGCTCCACTCAAAATCAAAGCGACCGCCAGTCAATAGATACCCACACAAAAAGAAATAATAAAGAATTACTCATATTAGCGCGCCTCTCTCTTGGCTTTTCATCAGATTTTCTATTTTTCCACACGCTGCCAATAAACACAAAAACGAAAACGAAAAAAAAAAAAACGCGCTCCCACTTGTCTTTTTCTGCTCTCCAGACCAGCTCTCAGTATCCATTCAGACGCGCTGCGAAGAACACGCGGCAGCAGCTGGTCTCAACATGGCTGAGGAACTTGCGCCCGTCTATTTTGCCGTTGGCCCCAACGCCCGCGAGATAACCTGCCCCTACTGCAAGGTGCTGGCCAGGACGCGTCTGGTGCGCTCCTGGCTGCACTGCTGCACCAAGCGTCACCATTGCGGCGCCTGCGGCGAGTACCTGGGTGTCTACAGGCGACCCCAGCTCTGATACCCTACATCATCTTCTGCACACTTTGTACTGTACAACAATAAAGAACAGGCATTAAATTCCATGCGTGTTGTTAATTAATTGCGGCTGAGCAGAGCAAGTTTCTCTCATTTGTGGCCCGCTCTCGGCTGGCTCTTTTGCTGCTTTACGCTCGGCTGCTGGGGCGTCGCTGGCGTTAGTTACGCGCCGTACGGCAGAGAGTGCGCACCAACATGACCAAGGTGGAGCCGCAAGTCATAGCCATAAGCATCGGCGGCGGCAAGCCCCAAGTGGGCTACCTGCAGATGCAGTCCACAATGGTTAACTGTCCGGCCTGCGAGCATTTCGAGCCGAGCATTGTGCAGCGCGAGGCGGTCAGCTGTCTGCAGCGCGTGCTTGGCCTGACCAAGCTATGGTGAGTCCGCATACTAGAGTTTTTCCAAGGATTGCCACTCATGTTTCCCAATCGCAGCAAGAGCTGGAGCGGACGCGAGGACATCAATCACTACTGTGCCCACTGCGGCTGCTTTATCGGGCGCTACGTGCCCTTGGGCTGCTACGAGCGCTGCCTTTCCAAGTCGGCACGTAAGCAGGCAGTCGTGGACGAGATGCGACTCAAAACCAAGCCCAAGGATTGTGCGGTGCGTGCCCAGAAGTCCAGAGAACTTATCCTGGCCAAACGAGCCGAGAAGCGCGCACAGCGAGAGGCACAAAAGCAAAATCAGAATCAAACCCAAACTGTGTTGCAATAAGTACAAAATGGGCTGAATGGTTCTTGTCTTGGCTAAGCAAGCTTTTTTTGCGGCGACCTTTTGGGTCGCAATTGAAATAAATTATTTTGTCTAACTCGTATCTCCAGCACCGCAGCAAAGTTGTGTACAAATATATATAGTTAATGGTGAGCTGTTGAGCAGATGTTGCTCCTAGGTGGGCACAAATTCGCGATTGGGGCGTATGCAGTTGTTCTCGCGATCGTAGATGCCCAAAAAGCTCTTGCAATTGGAACAGTGCAGATATTCGCGATTGTCGCCCGAGTTGAGGCAGGGCAGAAAGCAGAAGGGCCAGCAATTGGCCACACAGGCCGCAGAGCAGCCGGTGCTTGTATAGAACTCGGAGCTGGTTTTGATCAATGGCCGGCGATTCAAGCCGCAGCTGGGACAATAGATGCAGCCCTCTGTGGGCATCCAGCGCTCAATGGAGCTGCGATAGAACTGACGTCGGTTCAGCTCCTTGGAATCGGTTAGCTTGAGCTGCTTCCAATTCTCCGAATGGACGCCAGAGCGCTGCTGGCTGCCAGAACGCTTCTTGCCCTGCAAATCTGGGAATGGCTCGCTTTGAAGCAGAGATTGGGTTAAGTCAACTGCAATCACTTACAGCGCTCGGCCTCGTCGGCCATCTCTGCCTCGGACATGCCCGTCATTTTGCTAATCTCCGATAGACGCTCCTCGCTGATGCCATGCTCGGCGGCCAGCTTGTGCAGATTGTGCACCTTCTCATTGGACTCGTCAATGATCTCCGGATGATCCTTCTGCACGTGACGCACCAGGCAGCTGGTGTCGTACCGCGAGCACTTGATGATCTTCAGGCACTTCAGGCAGCGCAGGTACTGTACATCGGTGGGTTGTGTTGACATGGTTGATTGATTATTCTTTAGCGATAAGGCTTGCTATATCGGTTGACGGTACGTTATAGTTCTCTTTAATAATAAACGCACAATTTATGAATATTTGTTTGTGTTCGATCGTTGTGTTTACAGAGCCAAAAAGTTATTAGGTTTACCAGCTTCGACGGCAAATTCCTGGCTTACTGGGCTTTCATTCATGAGAAATAAAACACATATGATAACTTTGATAAAATCGAATATAAATATTGTATATGTATAAGTAGAAAGTAAATTTTGTATACCCTTTACACATTCATACATATCAATATTACGTATACGCATCACGCATACGTATATATACAAGAAGTATATCTCTTGAGAAAGCGTGGCCTCTATATATACCCGAGTTGATATAGCCATGTCCGTCTGTCTGTTTCTGTGCGAAATAGTCTCAGTTTTAAATTCATTGTCGTGAAACTTTGCTTAGGTCCGTCTTTCTGTTGCGGGCCGGATCGGACCACTATAACATATAGCTGCCATAGGAACAATCGATCGAAAATTAAGAACTTGTATTAAATTCTTTTCAGTTTACTAATATATCTTATATATTGGATCCTTTTTTCTTCTTTGGCAAAATATTATGATTTTTAAGATATTTTCAAGAAGCTCAGCATTTTCACGCACAATGGAAGGGTATTAAGTTTTCGGCGTACCGATAATATCCTTACTTTCTCGCTTATAAGTCTTTGAATTTTCTAAAAAAATTTTATCTGAAGTGTATTTCTGTATGAAGCCATAACGACTTTTATTTATCATGCAAAGCTCAGCATTTGAATTCTTTTAAATCGAATGACGTTCAATATGTCAATTTTTTTTGCACCGGCTTGGAATCTTTCAGATTTATTACGCATACTTGTGTCTGAGTAAAAGCTGAACTTGTTTGCGTAGACTACAAAGTGCAGTAAAAAGTATTCTTGTCTCTTAGAAAAAAACCCATTAACAATTTTTTGCTAGCCTGCAGCAGACCGAGTTATCGTACAGCAGAAAAGAAGCACTCTCTGCTCGCATAATTCCATTGAAGCGTCGAAATTTTATTGTCTGTCATGTGCCCCAAGGAGCTTCATTCATTTCTTGTCATGGCAACAAATAAAGTCATATGGATTTGCCACCTCCACGCAAGCAGCACGCCGGGTGCCTAGGCAAATGGGTGCCTATGCAGAGTACTTCCACTCCAATTGTTGGGGGTTTTCCTTTATTATGTTCCTTTTTTTTTTTGACGCGTTTCGTCAAAATTGATTTTTTACAGTATGGGGTCGTCATTTGGGTTGCGTGGCTTTCACTTTCACTTTGACTTTCGCACGATTCGCTCGCCGACTGACTGACTGACTGCCCCGCAGCTTGTTATTTGTGCGCGTTACTCATACGCAGCGTGGTGCGGCGGGAAAAGCGAACGCGTCTGCATTTCTTTACGTACTTCACGTAATTGCCGCCTTTGTCTGCTCGCTTCAGCTCGTCATTAGAATCGAGTCGTGGCTGGTTTCCTGTTTTATTGGCCCAGGAATTGGGCTCATCGAGCTATTGACGCATTGAGAATGTTTAATTAAAGTTTTCTTTACATTTTATTATAAGTAGTTCTGCTTACACATTTAACTCTCGTACATTTACCAGGCTAATATAAAAATACAGTTTTCCACTTGTGTGTCTGTTGTTTTAGTTCTTGTTTTTGTTTTTGTTTTTGTTCTTGTTCTTGTTTACAATTTGTATTTGAAGTTTCGGCTTTGGAAGCTGTTTTACTCTTAACACTGAATTACTTAAATACAATTACAATTCGCTGACTCAAAAAATGTTAACATGAATTTTCGTTACTGTTGCTCCTCCGCCCACATTCCCTGTACATACACGCACACAGACACATACACAAATTGTATATATATATATATGGTATATGGTATATATCGTACTTTTACACAGATAACTAAAGGTAGCATCCACGGCACAAAAACATTGAGGTGCACCGAGGTGTGACTAATAGGAAATGCGTTTTTTGTTTTGTCTCTCAATTTTTTCCTGCTCGTTCTCTTTCCTTCTCGCAGCATTTTCAGCAAATGTCTCTTGGTGGTTGTTGTTGTTGTTGTAGTTGCACATATATATATTTATATATAGATATATATGTACGTAGTTGGACCTAAGCGTATCTCAAACGGTTATAGATTTAGAAAAATAAAATCTAGCTTGTAAAATTGGACTATTGCCGAGTCGCATTCACAATGTCAGCTCAGCTTGCATATGTACAACGATTCTTGTCTCTTGCAAGTTAATTCACATGTTTGTGCTTTAGTTGGGTTCAAGTTCGAGTTCTCGAATCGTAGCAGTTCCCCTCCCCCTCTGCGTCGTTATAGGCCGGCTCCTAACTTATCTACTTTTACACACTTTGAGGCACATTCAGTTTGAATCATTTTATAAATTTATAAAGTTGCGCTACAAAAAAACAAAACCTAACTCGAAAAACTCGCTGACAAACATTCTACATCCCCCCTCCCCCCTCCCTGCACCTGCTTTGGTGCGTCCTAAAACTAATTGTAAAAATTAAAAATTGATTTACACGCGCACGCGTCGAGTTGGCGCCCAGCCAAGTCGCAGCAAACCTTCCCCCAGCCCCTGCCCCAGTCCCAGTCCCAGCCACAGTCCCAGTCCCAACCACAAGCCACTCCGTAGCAAGTTTTTAATCTGCAGCATGATTCTCCATGCTCGTAACTCCGTCAAGCTTAATGCATTTATCACCATCATTCAGCAGAGCGGGAAACGCAGGCATATGGAATAGGCGACATTTGGAATGTCGCCATGCGGATGTCCCTGCTCGGGCGCCTGGCTCGGGCGTTGTCGCCTTAGAGCGTATTCTGTTTGGCCGCCTCGCCGCATTTGGCAGCCGATTCGAGGCGCGCACGTGGGCGCCGCTTGGTCTGCAGGGAATACAGGCGACCGCTGCGTGAGCGCATCTGCGGCTCCGCCTCCCGCCCACCGGAGCCACCAGCGGAGCCCCCGCTACAAACGATAAAATGTCTATTAGGAGCAGCCGAAGTGCAAACAAGTTAAGCCACACACTCACTTGAGTTCCAGCTTGGCCAGGCGCTGTTTGATTTTGGCCTGGCTGGCCGTGTACTCGGCAAGCAGGCGGGCCAGCCGCATGTTCAAGTTCTCGACGGACAGCTCCAGTTTCTCGATGCCGCCCTCGATGCTGTCGTGCACGCGCTGCGAATCTGCGAATCAAAGGCAAACAGGATGACGGAAGTGCGTTAGTGAGCTGAGCGGAAGTGGCCCAAATTGTGTTGGCGTCAATTACCCGCAAAGATCTGCTCATCGAGCAGCCCGTCCTTGCGCAGCAGCTGACAGCCGCGCTGTGTGAGCGTGGACCGCGCCTCCGGATAGTCGGCCAGCGTCTCCCACAAGTCACGCTTGGCCAGGCAAAAGAGATCCGAGTAGCCCAGCGAGCGTACGTTGGCCGTGCGTCGGTTGCCCGTGCGATTGCCGGCGATCTCCAGCACCGAGACCTCACCAAAGACCGAGCCAGCGCCCAGCGTAGCCAGCACCGTGACGCCATTGTCGCCCACCACGGACAGCTTGCCGCGCTTCACAATGTACATCTCCTTGCCGACGTCGCCCTTGCGGCAAATGTAGTCGCCGGGACTGAAGACCTGCAGCTTCAGCTTGAGCACCAGCGCCTCCAGCAGGCCCGGTTCTGTGTCGTGAAAGATGCGCACCTGCTTTAGCGTATCCATGTGCACCTGTATAGCTATCTCCGCCTTCAGCTTGTCCGGCAGTGCAGCCAGCACGCGCTCCTCATCCAAAGCGCCACTCTGCGACCAGGTGTAGGCGAACCAGCGTATCACTCGCGCCTCCAGCTCATGGCCCACGCGCCGAAAGGCCATATACTGCTTGACGCCATCCATGCGGTTCTGGAATTCCACGCGCGCCACATTCATGTTGGATATCATGGAGCCAATGTTACCTATTGCCAGCCAGGAACAATATGGTTTTCGAAATTGTCATAAAATACTTGTTTTCATGCCCTGTAGCTATTAGATAATGGTATAGGGTATACTTAAGCAGATATTTAGCTGGGCTGATATGTACACTCAGCCTTTGCATGGATCTGTCTTTTCGAGCCGCAAATCACAGAGATAATAAAAGCAAGGAGTACAAAATCTACCTTTTAGGCTCATCATATCCATGCTCATGCTTATCCAGAATGAAATCCTTTCACTCTTCTTAAAGTCCTGCAAACTTTATCCAAAACTTTCGAAATGGAATTCTGAGTATAGGATTTTAGATAGATTTCATAGTTCCCCACAACGCCCGCCTGGTTATTTTGGAATGCGGGTCAATTGGGCATCTCATGATCGAGTACTCGAACGGCTTGTATTGTTAAAGGCTGATTTTAATTTCGAGTGCCATTTCCGCTGCTGGCATTGAAGATGTGCCGCGCCACTTGTGGGTCGTAAGTTCTTCAAGGGGCCCATGCGGCGTATGCGTAACGCGTGGCACAAAGGCGACTAATGGCGGCACTTCCGGTGCACACACAGACACAGACGCAGACGCAGACGGACATATGACTGTGTATATGCATGATGGTAAAATATGCCACTCTGACGAACTTTGCATTCATCATGGTAAGTAAATTTGTTTGCCCAGATGTCAGACGGGACGCCGAACAGCAGCGGCAGCGCCAGCTGCCCGGTAATGGCAGCGATAAGAAGGACGACAAAAATGATAAAAAGGCACGTTTGCCAAAAAGCGTTGCGAATGTGAAGGCGTCGACAGCAACAAATCAACCCCGCACATGCCAAACAAAAAAAACAGAAAACAAAACAATGTTGAAAACAGAAAAGCGTAATGAATAATGTGGGTCGACACGAAGAAAGAGACAGGGACAGGGACAGGGACGCCCACTGGAAAAGGGACACGCACTAACACACAGAGGGTGTGGGTCGTTGTCCCTGACGTACGTGGCGGGCCGTAAATTAATACCCATTGATGTCACAGATGTCACTCTGCAACCAATTAAACGATCAGACGAAATATTTGCGTAAACAATGCGCCCAAACAAACAGTTGAAAAATCCCCCTAAAATGGACCAGCTTCCCAGTCCCACAAAACAAAGGTGGGGTTGGGAGGGAGAGACTCACCCACAATGGTGGCAAAGATGAGCACGCCGGCGAGAAAGTCGGCGACCACAAACAAATATTCCACATCATTCTCTGGCGTCGGCGTCTCCCCAATTGTCGTCAGCGTCAGCGTGGACCAGTAGAAGCTGTAGATATATTGACGCTGCAGCGTATTGTTCCGCGTGCCGTTCAAGTTGTAGACCCAGGAATCGGAGCTGAAACCAATCTCGTAGCTAATGGCAAAGTACATGCAGGCATTCCAATGGATCAGCACCAGAATGGCCAGCACCACCTTGCAGATGCGAAAGGCATTCGGATAGCCGGTGGCCGTTTCCGTGCGATCGAACCACTCCCAGAGCCGGGGCAGGCGCAGCAGGCGATTGAGGCGCACAATCACCGGACAGGGCAGATACAGGCTGGAGCATGTTTCCGGCGGCCACCAGATATATGCCAGATCCGTTGGCAGCATGGACAGCACGTCCAGATACCAGCCCTTGGTGTGAAAATAATGGCGACGCAGCCGGAAAGCATCGCGCACCAACAGACCCTGGTCCAGAAAGCCTGCGGGCCAAAATGAAAGGATTAGACCGCCGTGTTTGTGTGTGTGTGTGTGTGTGTGTGTTTGGTTGTGCTTTTCAGTTCATTTTTTGCATGCCAAATGCAGCGAGACATTTCGCAGCGTTTTGTTGCCAGAGCCGAACTGTGGAAATGCAAAACTTAAACTAAAACTTTGATACCCTTGGCAACTGGATAATCCGCTTACTTTATTTACACAAATCCTGTGCGAGGATTTGAGTAGCAAAATGTGTTCACTCGCACAAGGAACTCGCTTTGCTTGGCTTATGGAGAGACTAGGAAACAGACAACTCTTGCTAAAGACCCCAACAAAATGAATGCACACGTCAAATTCTTCAATGTTAAATGACATGTTTGAAGAATGCATAAATATAATTGCCTATTCTAATTATTATTAATATTATAGAATATTCTAAGAGCTGGCAACTGGAATTCGAGCCTGGATGTTGAATGTACGGATTTTTATTCTACATTCACAAGTTTCATAAAAAGGAAGTTGTTGAAGAAAAAACCTTTAAGCACAGATTTGCCCCCAAGTAATTTTCTGGGAAAATGAGAACAGTAATTTCTGGAAATTTTTAATTACAGACAGAGTTCCCATTTCCGAGCGCTAACAGCGTCATAATAATTGTTTTCAACTAAGTATATAAGTTTATAAATATAAACTATGTACTTGGTAGACATTTAGCAAGAATCAGGCATGATTATGTGGAGCTTAGCTTGTTAAGTTAAGTTTATTTTAAACAAAATTAAAAAATGTCTAAAAATGTGTTTTAGTTTGTCCGCGGGCTTCTGCTTTTCCCGTATTCTTAGAGCACTTTTCGGGCATTTCTTTTAATTCCGACTTTTCTAGACTAGAGTTTCACAAAGTTGCGTGGCTCGCGGCGAGAGTATTACAAAGCGTTTTCTTGTTGCCGTCTGAAATGTCAAGGCTGGCTTATCCCTGCATTTGGCAGCTCACACACACACACACGCAGACAGGCACACACACACATATGCTGTTGATGTATGTTTTTTATATGGCAGCAAATGGGTTTGCTGGCAACGCTTTGCTGCCATTGTCTGCGGCGGCTTAGTTAGACCAAAAGTCACCAAGTCTCATTTGCATAAGCAGCCCCCGTCCCTTTCTCCCTGTCCGTCTCGTCTGAGATGTTGAACTTACCCTCGTGCATGTGCACCAGCGTATCGAGCAGGTAAATGAAATCGCACAGGTAATCCAGCGTATACCAAACGGCGGGCGCATTCTTGTTGATCTCCCAGAACACGGAGCGTCCGACCACAAATATGATATTATAGAGCACCGCCAGAGAGACCACAGCGAGCCACTGGAACGTGCTGTATTAGCTAATGGATTGCAAAAGTTAAAGTGCATCCCAATCGGACTTACCCTGTAGTGTGACTGGAGCGTGGGATCCACGGAGAGGCGATTGCAGAGCGCGCTGCTGCCGCGAATTTCACTGGACAGCGCCGCGTCGTCCATGGCGCCAGTTTTGCCTATTTTGTCCGTGTTGCTGGCATTGGAGAACTTCTCGAGGAACCAATCGGGCGGCTTGGCGCGACTCCGTTTTGTCAGACGCTGCCGCAACGCCTGCAGCGTTCGTCTCAGCGCTGAGGGTTTGCTCCGTTTGTTCGGCTCCTGCAAGAAGCGTGGCATGGGAAAATGAAGCTCAACTCAAAGTTTGTCGACCCCCGCCAGCCTCCTCGTATATGAAATGTGCCACACAACTGGCGCAGGCTAATTGAAACATTTTAATGGCCATCTACAGTGCCTTTGTGTGGTTACCCAATCCTGGTCGGGGTAACCACATTAAAACTTGGTCAGCTCTTGCAAGTTTGGCGCTTAAATTTGTTATGTCTGCACAGCTGCAGCATGCTAACGAGGGGGCGGGCGGAGGGGTTGTTTGGGAAAAAACTATATATCCATATACATTATGTATAATAGTTGCACATGACTCGGGCAATGTCATCTTTGTAATTGAGGTTGTCCCGTCATACAATAATGTTCACTTTGATAACTCTTTCAACTAAAGCATAATAAGACTAGCTTAAATGTTCTTCGCCCTTCTATGCGATTTTCATGAATTTGAGTAAGGCGTTTAGGCTATTGTGTTTGTTTACAGTTAAGTACGCACAAATTTGGACAATCAACAGCCTGCTACAGGGCATCTCTTAGTCGTGCACTTTTAGTATAACGATTATATTGTATGTATTCATGACAGCGTTTACTGTGGGGTCAAGAGGGTAGCGCATTTAGTTAACAGACAAGTAAGAGTCAGTCAAGGGGTTCCACAAACATTGTACATATGTGAATACATATGTTGGCATGTATACAGTTTATGGTTAACACACACACACACACACACACACACACACGCGCGCATAATCGCACATGGGATGCTTGTTTCGCGTTCACTCTGCACATCCTGAGATTAGGGGCGTGTGCTTGACAGTCTAATAAACGCGTATCAGTCGCTGCCAGCGGTTAATCCATTAAGCTATATCGCCGGGCATGAATCGGCGTGGGGCGGACAGCTGGTATGAGCTTTTGCTCAATGTGACGCATACGTGCGTCGCTTTCTATGGCAGCCCTTCGGGCGCAATGCTAATGACAATGCAATGCCACGCCTCCTGCTGCGCCCAGCTGTTACGAAGGTCGCGCGCGCACAAACACACACACACAATCACAAACTTGGCATAGTCTTTATTTATGTATTTTCAGCTCACATTTACCGCATCGTTTTGTTGTTGTCCCGCTATGGCTGCTATATCCAAAGATTGCACCATGGCTTTGACTTTGAAATGTCGCATGCAAAAGCGACGTTAATGTCGCCCGCGTGCTTGTCTCCTCTCTTCCTCTTCCACTTGGTACTTTAATCGTAATAGCAAGTTTTTAACCTACAATTGCTATGTGAAGACCGTTAACCGTTAGTATTTTGCTGCTGCTGCGCATGCGCGTCGACGTCGAACGGCCCGTTAACACTGGAAAAAAATGCGTTGCGCGGTTTGCAACTGCCATTGAAGGCAGCAACAGCGACGCCAACAGCGACGCCGACGTCGACGTCGAAGTCACGAACGCAGAGCATAGCCACGGCAGGCATACACAATAACTAAATGTTTGTTGTTGCTGTTGTTGTTGTTGTTGTCGGTTTTGTTGCCGTTGTCAATTCGGAATGCTATTTTATCTGCTGTTGTGTTTTATTTTGCAATTTTCTTAATTTGCATGTGCCGACATCGGCGACGTCGTCGGCGTTTAATTAATTAACTCGCAAAAGTCTCAAGTGACTTTGGTCCTTCATTGCCAGCGCGCCACATCGAAGCCAGAGGACAAAAGTCGTGTAGTTGTTGTTTTGGGGTGTGTATACTATGGCCATTGATGGCAATTTGACAAGATTGATGACACTTTCAGCTGAACTGTGCGCGCTTTAGTAAACGCTTTTTAATTGTTTGGCCATCATTTAATTAAGCTGAAAGCTGTTGGCAGGTGGACGCGCAACACAATGCGAGGCAATGCGATCAAGAGCGCGCGCGTCGCTAGCTTATATCGATAAGTAATCGCTTGTACGATATATGTGCGGCCAGTGTCTACACCCACTAAAACTGGTGCATAAATTAAGTTGCCACCATTTAATTAAGCTGAAAGATGTTGCCAGGTGGACGCACAATGCCAGGCAGAGCGATCAAGAGCGCGCGCGATTTGTGTGTCCAGTGTATACACACTCAAAAACGAAAACTGGTGCATAAATTAAGTTGCATTGACACTGGCAGGAAGCAGCTAACCAGTTATCCACTTGTGATGGATAAGCAGCGGCGCAGCGATAATAAACATGTTGATTAAATGCTGATGAGCTCATTCAGACACTAGTTGCATGGAAAAAAACGGTTTATTTATTTTTATTTGCAAGGTTGCAGCCATAAGCTCAACTGATTCGGATTGGCAGCAGCAGCAGTAGCAGCAGCTCTTGTGCTTGAAATCACAATCACAATCGAAATCGAAATACAATTTGAATTACCTCCCGCTAACCAATATCTCTACAAGTGCTGCTGACACTCGCCGGCTGCCTGGCTGCCTGATTGGCATTCACAGCGCTGCGGCGTGAGCTGCACAATAAATTTCCATAATTGCCCGGCGACCGTTAGGCGTTGACACAGGTGAGCAGAGGGAGAGGATGGGGGCACGCTACTGCCAGTAGGTGGTTAGGCGGACCACATTATGCTAAGCAAATCAAGTGCCGCCGTTGATGTTTATTGCATGCGTGTGCTTTATGCCCAAATAAAGTTGCTTTAAGCGACTTTTAAGCCCCGTAGACCTTTGGAAATGACCAATGGACACAAAATTGAAATGCCAGGCAAGCTGTGCGCCCAAATATGAGAAGGTCAGCCGGGCACGTGGCGCTGATTGAAGGGAAGCTTAAGCGCTGAATGGAAATTGTCTTGGGCCCGGCCTGTGTAACAGAAACTGTTCTCAATCAAATGTGTGCGTGGGTCTCTTATTTCCGTTTTTGACAGGGGCGAGCCCAAAACAGATTGAATGTCAAGTGCTGAACACAAAACATTTACTATTTCATTTAGGAGCGTAAATGTATTGGCTTGTGGGCGAATACCCCAATAAAAATACATGCTTATGCTTGAGTTTCAAGTCTAATACTAAGTGTTGAACAGTGTTAAATTTATCAGCCATCTTTAATTTACGTGTGATTTCCGTAGAGAAAAAGGAAGTCCCGATGGGAACAGCTCAAAACAGCATTTAGGGAGTCTAATATGCAGCTCTTATGTCATTTAAATGTATAGAAAGTAGCTTAAAGGCATTTTTACTGTTTCCGCACTCTTTTTTGCACGACTTTTTTAACACTGCAATAAATGCATATATTAAAAAGACAGCTTTGAAAGCGCATTAAAGCTTTAATAAAAATGCCTAATAGAGAAAAATAGCATGCCGAAAGCTCCTTGACTAGAAATGGGCAAAGGGCTCTTATTGAAACCCATTTGTTGGTTTTAAGGCAACCGCATTACAGGAATAAAGCTTTGCATAAAGTAACCACAATGTTGTTTAATGCACGAATGCATTTGAATAATCCACCAATTCGAAGTATATATATATCACAAATTGCGGATTTGTGGTCCTTTAATGCTGTTTGTGTTAAATAAACCATATAAACCATATGCGTTGTTATCGAACATATACTCTGATGCCATGATACACCAGCTCCGTAATCACAATTGTTAGCTGATAAGCACTTTAGCCTTCTGACATTTTGGCGTACTTGAACTTTGATAAACCGCACATATTCAGTTGTTATAGATAGCACCGAGTTTATCTGTAATATTTTTGTTATTTGCTGTGTTGATATTGGTAAAGATTTTTGTTTGGCTTAATGCTCCACTGAACGCCGTGGGAAATTATGCAAATGCGCCGCAAATTGGATGACTATGACCAACAGCAACAGGAATAAAACAACACACATTCCCTTGAACACTGCTTGCCGTTCCAATACCTTGTCCTATGGCCGACAACCCAAACTAGATACCACAACAACAAGAAAAAAAACAGCTGCATAAAATGATCTGGAACTGTCCCCCAAATGGACCCTCATCAAGACAAAATCCAGCTGGCCCAACACGACGCCCTTTTTCAGTATGTTTTCTGGCCTAATCTTTGGGCCTAGTTGGCATTGTTTACAAAGCGTATTAGTCAATTTTTGATTTAGTGCCCGTTTTTAAGCTAAGGATTTCAATTTTGCCGTTTTTCAGTTAATTTTTGTATTATTATACTCGTGCTGCCGCTGGCGAACGCGTTTTTTGCGCAACTGTCGATGTTGAAAATTGTACAGAAATTGACTAAGCGAATAAGCGAAAAAAAAACCCACTGCTTTCAACGGGCGAGGGGGGGCAGGCAGGCATCAAGGATGAGCACAGGACTCACAGGACTAGGGACATTCAGCGCTTGTTTGCTCGAGTGTCCTGCTGTCAGCTCAAATTGCATAGAAACAATAAGCAAAACAGAGCACAAAACGGCGGCCAATCGAAGGCAAAACCAAAAGGGAGAAATGGAAATGGGAATGGAAATACCAGAAGGTATGGCAAGCAAATAGAGCTCATTAATCGGTTTAATGGCCAAAAGCAGCCGCTGACTTTGGCCAACTTGGAGCCTTCCCTGTCGAGTGCCCCAATCGAACTTCAACTAGCTGCAAATGCCCGCAGACTCATCGAACTCTTCAGGTGTTTTGAGTTATGTACAAGCGCTCAACTAAATGCTAAATATCGACATATATATCTATATATTGTGTACAGGCCGTTTCCATTGTGGCCTCCGTTTGCGGTTTTGTGCCACAGAGTTGATGGCCAAACAACAGACAACACACCTAAAAAGCATTACAACAATCAAGCCAATATTTGGACGCAGTTATGCGGGTGATCGGGTGGTTGGGTGGTTTTTACTGTTGAACTGCCACCTGGAACTGAGCGCTTTCCATTTGTATTTATTTCATTGCGTTTTCGGTGCTCTCCTTCTGCCTTTGACCTGGCATTGAAACAATTTTAGTTTCAGTTTCAGTTTCTGTGGTTGCTTTCACTTTAACTCTCTCTCTCTCTCTCTCTCTCCTTCTCCCCTCTCTCTCCCTCTGTGGCTCAATGGCCTTATCTATCAAATTGGTCGTCGGCCAAGATACCAGCTTAACCCCTCTCCACTCCCCCTCCCACCAACTGCCTGGACAAGCCCGCAACCGACGTGACCAGCCAGTAGCTGATATGCCTGGTCAACATTGGGCCTCGTCCTTGTCTCACTTGCTCAAGTATTTATAACCCGAGGGTCAAATTAAGTTCTAAACAGACCTTTATATCTGTACGTTTCTTCGTCTCTTTTTTTTTTTTTTGTATAAAGAGTAAAGGCCTAAAATAATGTAATTATTAAAAGTTTGCAACAGAGTCCCTTTGACGCGCTATTTGCTTGGTAAAATAGGTTGATAAAATGTGCTATTTAAACATTTATTCAAATAAACGCTTTTCAGTGTTGAAAAATACAAAAGTTTCCGCACTTGAAATAGTTTTAATAAATGCCTAGATATTTCAATATTGGTTTTCACTCAGAATTTCTGTCTGATTAAAAAATCTTGAAAAGAGAATATAATGCTTACACCTGGATATACGTTATATATAGAAAAGTTATTCTATTTATCTTAACAATATTTTCCCACAGCTCAAATTTTCTTTGCACCCTTAAATCTAGGAAGCCCTCATAAAATCCGACTCCTATATAATTAATGGATTTTTGTAATGTATCAAAGCGTCGGCTACACTAACTTGCAGCGTATTTCGAGTTTTTTATTCAAGTAATTTGACACGTGCTAATAAAAATTTCTGAGGGCACAAAAATGGCAGTCAGCTGGCACGGAACATGGAACATGGAAATGGAAATGGAAATAGAGTGTGGTACGTGGAGGGTGCGGAGCACGGAGCGCGGAGCACGGTGCATGGAGCATCGGCTGACGCGTCGGCTACGTGACAATAGAGGAAGTAATTAAAACGCGATTTACGACAAGGTCAAGTTTATGAAGGTCCGCAGTTCATTTGCATGGAGCTATAATCGGGCATGGGTTTCGTGAATGTGCAAATAAAAAAAAAAGAAGTGGGGAGTAGGAAGTGCCCCCGCAACCCCTCCCCCCACCCTACCTCCATCGCTTTGCTGCTGTGGCCCGCAGCTTGGTAAGTAACATTGTTTTATTGTTATTATTGTTGTTTTTGGTGTTGGCGGTTTTGTTCGTGGTTTCGTTGTCGATGGCGTCAATCAATTAGCGCAATTACTTAATTACGGC